AATAATAATAATAATAATAATAATAATAATAATAATAATAATAATAATAATAATAATAATAATAATAATAATAATACTTACGATAACCTTAATGATATTTTCATGTTGAAATAATTTATACATCTCAACTTCTTTCATTGCATTTCTCACAGAATCTGTTCCAAGAGGACATCGAATCTTTTTAAGAGCACATTGAAGTCCAGTACTAGTATCCTGCACTAGATAAACGAACGAATAACCACTAATAGAAAAATATAGATATATAGATATATATTAAAATTATAAATATCAATATCATTAAATAACTTTTTGTTGTAATAAATATTATATAAAAAGAACCCCACCCTTCACCAAGCAATCTGATCACTTTAAAGTGTCGACTTTTTATGTGAAGTATTGGAGTAGGGAAACAGCAAGTAAGCGAATAAAGAGTATTCCATACGAAAGACATCTCAACAATAAACCTTATTTAAACCTTTGGAGTATTTGTAAAAATATATTGCATATACTTAAAGTTATAGAAAGGTTATAATAGGTTATAATAGGTTATAAAAGTAAAAAGTTGTAAATATTTTTTATTATTGAACTTTAATATTATGTTGTGATAATTTATACACTGTATATTTTTTCACTTTGTTGAAAGTACCATCGTTTTTATTTAAACCGTCAAGTTATTTTATTTTATTTTTTTTGATCAATCATGATGAAGAAAAGAAAAGTGAAACTATTTAAACAAAATACGAATTGAGATGAAAATGCAAGGTACAGTTTACACAAATCCAAAAAAAAAAAACTGACACAAAAAAAACGAGTTGATGTTAATTTAAGATAGTATTAAAGTTTCACAAATTCACATAATTCTTTCTAAATTGGGGAAAGGATAAAGATTAACAAGATTTAACCAGTTTAATGATAAAAAAAGAATGTCACACATTTGTAAGACCAGATCCATATCAAATATATCAAATATAGAGATCCAAATAATAAGTAAATTAATCCTAACCCTGGGTCTACACTCTTAACCTCGAAGTACACGTGGAACCCACTTTTATTTTTTATATACATAATGGGTCTAGACCAAAATAATAATAATTATCTCAACATCTAATATCATATGATTAACATTTTTTTTCATTTAAAGAATTTCATTTATTCATTATCTAAAATCAATCAACTAAATTAATAAATTTCTTAATGTTAATGATTATCTTTTTATCTTTTTTTAGTAATTTTTTATTTTGGTATAAATCGAGATCTTCCTTATCAGCATTTAATCACTTGATTTTTTTTTTGATTTTGATGAATTATTTAAATGGTTTAAAAAGTTTAAAAAGTTCGAGTTTCTTTCTATCATCACCACAATACGTTAGACTTACAATTTTTAAAAATTTCAAACAATCGAATTTTAATTCAATAATAACTTTAAAGAGACCATTTTCAACTATTTCTAAAACTATGTCTGAATACACAATCCGTAGAAATGGTGCACCAAATACTACAGAATATAGAATTTATATCGGTATATATATATATATTTATATACTTTTAAACATGTTTTCTTTAATATTCTTAATTTTCTATTTAAAAAAATAATTTCTTTTTTTTTTTTGTTGTATAATAGTATCGAAAAATGTATTAAAAATAATTTTATTCCGTTAATAAATTTCTAGAAAGAACTGGTACTATTATCTCACCTTTCCATGATATTCCATTATTTGCAAATGAAAGCAAAACTGTCTTGAATTTTATTGTGGAAATTCCTAGGTGGACAAATGCTAAAATGGAGGTATGAATTAGTATTATTTCTAATAGTTTTCAATAAATTTCAATAAATTTCAATAAAATTTCAATAAAATTTCAATAAAATTTCATTATTATTTATTTTTAGATTTCCAAAGATGAACCATTTAATCCAATAAAACAAGATATAAAAAAAGGAAAACTTCGTTATGTCCGCAATTGTTTTCCACATCATGGATATATTTGGAATTATGGAGCTTTCCCTCAAGTAATATTCTAATAAGATTCTGATAATAATAATAATAATAATAATAATAATATATATTCAACATTTTTTCACAATAAATTAGACATGGGAAGATCCAACTCAAACACATACTGAAACAAAAGCTAAAGGTGATAATGATCCACTTGATGTATGTGAAATTGGTGAACAAGTAGGTTACACTGGTCAAGTTAAACAAGTTAAAGTTCTTGGTATTATGGCTCTTTTGGATGAAGGTAAATTATATATTTATTTAATTTAATTTTTTTATTTTATATTACACATTTAAATTATTAATTATTAATAATTATTTATCATTTATCATTTTTACAATTTTATAGGCGAGACTGATTGGAAAGTTATCGTCATTGATATTAATGATCCTTTAGCGAGCAAATTGAATGGTTAATATTTTATTATTATTGTTATTATTATTTATTTATTTGTTCATTTATTATTTATTATTTATTTATTTTTAGTTTAATTTTCATTATTATTCATTCTTTGCATTTTTTTTTTTAAAATAAATAGATATCGAAGACGTCGAGAGACATTTGCCGGGTCTCATCCGTGCTACAAATGAATGGTTCCGAATTTATAAAATTCCGGATGGAAAACCAGAAAATCAATTTGCCTTCTCGGGTATTATTATTATTATTATTATTATTATACTTTCCTCGTTCTCTTTCTCATTTTCTTTTCTCGTTCTTCATAAAAAGGCGAAGCAAAAAATAAAAAATATGCTACCGAAATTATTCATGAAACTCATGAAGCTTGGCGTCGTATAATTAATGGACACATTCCTTGCAAGACAGAAAAATATGATCTTTCTATGTAAGATAATTTATTTTATTGTTATTCTCACACCCACACTCTCACTCACATTCTAAATATATAATTAACCATATTTAGTTACAACTTGACGAATGACGCAAGTTCTGGTAAAATAACTCCGGATAATCCCATTTATCAAGCTATTCGTCAAGATGAAATTTTAAAACCTGCTCCAATTGACCCATCCAGTAAGTTCCTTATTTATTTTAATCGTTTTTGGGGTTTGTATTTTACCGTTATATTTAAAAATAATAACAAAATTCTCTCTCTCTATATATGTATTTATATATTTTTTTTAGTTGACAAATGGTTCTTTATCTCTGGTACTTCTAATATGTAATAGAAAATTTAATTAACTTATTATTATTATTATTATTATTATTTTTCTTATTCTTAATCTTATTACGATTGTTGTTATTTAATTAAAGATTTTGTTCCAAAATCTAAATTTTACTTAATAAATACTATATTCTTAATTCTTCTAATGTTTAAAAAGCTTAAAAAATAACTTAATATGAAAATGCTCGTAGTACACAAGTCGCGTGGATGATAATGATGAAGGGTAGAAATTTTAATCTGTCACGCTGCGTGTCGCGTATTAATTATCATCCAAATAAACAACAGCCAATCATAAACAAATGATAAACTAAAAAACCAAAATGGAAAAATTTAATTACAATTTTTATTATACTTATTACAACAACTATTATTTACAATTATAATATAAATTATCGACAATTATTAAATAAATTAAATTTTTTAAATTTTGCAATATTTTTGGCGGATCAACACATAAATAAAGTGTCTATTTTACCTTAAAATAAATACCTTACACGTCTTCTATTAATTCATCGTTTAAAAATAAATACCTTACACGCCCTCTATTAGTTTAAAATAAATACTTCTATTCATTTATCGTTTAAAATAAATACCTTGCACGCCTTTAAAATAAATACCTTGCACGTCTTCTAATACCTACTATTCTTATCTCCGGACGCGCTACTTATAATGAGGATCGTGGACGTGATAACCTTCGCTCAGCGATTGGAAATACCCTTGATGATTTATGGGAGAAGCTACTGTAGATAAATACTTTGATGCTTTGGATAAAAGGTGCGTTTTTTTTTTCATTTGCAAAGAAGGGTAACTCCTAGGAGGATGTGTTACGGGATGCATTCTGACATAGGAGAATTACTGTTCAAGTGATTGCTGGCCACCTTTGCTGTTCGGGCACCTAACTTTGATGTGGTAAAGGTCTGCTAATATTGAATAAAATCATTGGCTATGTTCCTTCCCTTACCACTAAATAAAAAAACTGGCGCATTGCACTGTTAACATTAGTACTTGATGTTAACGAAGTTTATCATTTCAAATCATATATACAGGTTGAGCGGCACGAAAATACTTTGGAACTTTATTGGAGAGAAGTTATCCAAGAATATTCTGGTAAATGGGATGAACAACTAAAGATTTTTATGGATTTATTATAATATTATCAATTGTACTTGATTATGTCAAGCTAACCATTTCTATACCTTTGGTATATTTTTTTGCTTACAGTTATCTTATTAGCTTCTGTTTCTGCAGAGTGAAATAGAACACTGGCTCTCTATTTTGCAAACTATTATCAAGAAGCATAGCCTTTTTATTTGCTTGCTACGTAGGTTACTATATAAAGATAAAAGGAAGGCCTGAACCTTGAAATGGTAAATTTTACCATCGTAGCAACCCCCTCAAAAAATTTCAGGAAATAAAGGATTGTTTTAATTCAAAACATTAAATCTGATAGAAAATTTTGAAAAATTAACCTTTTACTTATAGTAATTTGACTTGATAAGATAAAAATATTAATTTGAAATTCTGAAATTATTTCATAAAAAGAAGAAAAAATATGTTATTTGACAATGATTAAAAATATTAAAACTGAAAATTTTAATTTAACATCAAAACTTTAATAAAAAAAATTGATTACTATTTTTGATTTCGTTACCATAACACCTTTTTTTATTTTTATTGGTATTCGATAATTGCATTACTATATATGTGAGATAATAATGAATCATTTATTTAAAATTTTGAAATCTAAATATATAATTACAATATAAACATAATCTTTCATTTTTTCATTTTTTTTCCGTATTTGCAATTAATCCAAAAATAATAGCCGTTAAGCAAACTATAATAATTAAATGCCTAAATAATAAAAATGTATAATGAACGTAAAAAATATAATGCCAGATCTTTATGAATAATAAAAATAAAACCAAATATTCAATTAAGAAATAGAATCTAATTGATTATTTCTGACCATCTAGGATAAAAAAAAAAAATTAAATTTAATAACCACACCATATTATAAACTATCAAATGGTTTAATACAAAATATAATCAAATCATATTAAGTACCATATGAATTTTTTGAAGTGTCAACACCGATACTTGTAAGGAACATTTTCTCCAATTCTATAATTACAAAACATAACATAATAATGAATTTCAAATTCATTTTGTTTGGATTCAAATGCTAAATATATAAATTTGTGATATTATTTTATATTGATTAAATAAATAAATAATTCATTGAGACATAACAATTTGCTTGAATTAATTCACCATATTGTTCTTCTATAAAATAAATATTTTAAAAATAAATATTATTTATTTTTTGTTAAATTTAATTTGAAAACATTTTTGATTTTTGATTTTAAACTTTTAGATTTAATAGTTAATTTTTGTTGTTTATCTATTTCTTTATAATATGATTTAATAAATAATTTTAATTTATTAACAATTGTTTGGTCTATCATCAGGATCTGCATCCCAACATTGTTTCATTAAAGTTATATATTCATGTGAAATATGAATATCTTCATTTATTTTTGTTCGATATCCTTTGATTATGGCAAGTGATAAATCCAAATCATGTTCATGGTCACCAAAGGGAGTTTCACCAGTTGCTACCTTCCACATTAATATACCTATACTATATATGTCAGATTTAGTTGTATAAACTTGATTACAGAGGACTTCAGGTGCAATATATGGGAGATTCCCATAAATGCTATTTAATGGTTTGTCAACTGGTCCACTAAGTCCAAGGTCACTAATTTTCCAATTAAAGCTAGGTACACTATATAAAATATTTCCAGAATTTAAGTCTCTATGTACTATATTTTTCTTATGAAATTCATTTAACCTAAATATTATATTATAAATAATATTATATTTTTGTATCCATGTAAGAGAATGATGGTTATCTATTAAAAAATGTCTTAAATCATTATCAAAATAATATAAAACTAACATATAATCTTGAGTAATGGGATCTTTGGTAAGTCAATCAATTGTGAAACTTAACAATTGTATGTAAATATATATATATAATTAATATATTTATTAACGGAAATTAATAAATATTATAATAATAATTTAACTCACTTCTTGAAACCAATGCACATTATTACTATTTGAATTATTTAATCTTTTTAGAGCAACCTTATGTCTTCCAAATCTTTCCAATATTTGTTTTTCAGAATTCCATTTCCATCTTTCCAAAATACAGTATAAATAGAAGCACATCCTCCTTCTGTAAAATATTTTATATTCTCAAATTGATTATAACTAATCCATTCAATTATATGCTTTGGTGCTACAGTTTTAAAGAATGCCAAATATATAATGGTGTTCAGAATACGCTTATCTCGTCAATATAGAGCTCAAGTTTGTCACTTGTGTAATTTTTTCTTTAATTATTTTCAAACTATGCGCAACTTTGTTTTTTTATTTATAATTTAAAAGAGAATAAAGACTTGAATAACAATTTTTACATTTATGTATAAAAAACAATATTTGTAAGAGAAAGATCGAGAGAAAGAACAAAAAAAAAAATACAATGTTATTTTTTTGATTTACTTTGTTAATCGAATAAACATAGATAATCGAAATAAGTGAATTATAAGAAAATCCACGGAAATGAAGAAAATAATATATGTATTGTGTAATTCAATTTTACAATCGGAATACAATTTATATTTTATAATATTAAATGAACACCCCTGTATAAAAAAAGAGTTTATACAACAATTTCTTATCCTTGAAATTGCAGTTAAATTTAACAGAAATTTATTTTTTATAGAAAATATTTTCCAAAAAAAAAAAAACAAAATAATAGATTAAAAATATTACAACGACCCGACCAACCCAACAAGAAACAATATAAAGGAATTTTATATATGAATCAAAAAAAAAAAAATGATGATTCAATATATAAACCAGTCCCGGATTGTTTTCCCGATACATAAATTAAAAACTACATAATTAAATTTTCACTTCACGCTCCCCTTCAACTACTATTGGTTTGCCTTTTATTTTCTCATTATATTCCCTATTGAGCTTAATTAAAACTGGATCATATCCTTTCTTTAAGTGCTCTAAAACGGGATCGCTAGATGATTTAATTACATTATCATCTTTTTTTGTAGAATCAATAATTTTTGGTGTTTCTGGTTCCTGACCAGACTTTTGCTCTGTAACTTTATTTTTTGTGCTTAAATTTTTGATTAATAGATTTTGTTTTTGAATAATATCTCTACCGACATCTTTTCCTGTCTTTTTTATTAAATTTTTCTTTTCTTCAATTTTAACAATTTCATTAGTGATTGTAGCTTGATAATTTTTATATTCTTCATCTAAGCTTTCTGATATGCTCGTAACGCTGCTTTCAATATCAGTAAATAATTCTTGACCAATATTAGAATCGCCTCTTTTGCTAAAGATAATAGATTCTACCTCATTCAATCGTTTCTCAAAAGTTTCCTCGGTCTCTCTTTTTAATTCTTCTATTTTTTTATTTAAAATCGGTATTAAATCGTCGGCTCTTGTATTAGACTCTCGGGTAATACCTTTGATATTGTTAATGGATTGTTTAGTGAATTCTTTAACACGTTCGATGGTGTCTTTTTCTCTAGAATAATCTTTTACTAAAATTTCTAATTTGGAGATATGATCGACCCCAGATTTTTTGATAAAATCTATTTTAATTTCAATATCATCCAACGTATTCTGTATGAAAATTTTAGCTTTCGAATCGAATTCCTTAAGAAGAACGGAAATATTATCTGTAAATCGTGATAATTCTGTAACAGAAGTAGCCCTGATAGCTTCTTCCGTGGCCTTACGTTCAGCTTCTTTACTCTCAGCTTCTTCCTTGATTTTACGTTCCGCTTCTAATTTAGCTTTACGTTCAGTTTCTTCCTTAGCTTTACGTTCAGCTTCTAATTTAGCTTTACGTTCAGCTTCTAATTTAGCTTTACGTTCAGCTTCTAATTTAGCTTTACGTTCGGCTTCTAATTTAGCTTTACGTTCGGCTTCCAATTTAGCCTTACGCTCAGCTTCTTCCTTCTTAAGTCTAGCTTCTTCCTTAGCCTTACGTTCAGTTTCTTCTTTCTTACGTATAGCTTCTTCTTTAGCCTTACGTTCATCTTCTTTCATCTTCTTACGTTTGCGTTCTGCTTCTTCTTTGGCTTGACGTGCTGATTCTTTGGCTTTAAGTTCTTTTTCAGCTTGTTCTTTACGTCTATTTTCTTCCATTTTTGCTTTCAATTTTACTTTTTCTTTTTCTTCGTCAGTCATACGGAACTCCTTCAATTTGGTCTGATAAAACAAAATAGCTTTATTACATTTTTCTATGACGAACTCTTTTGCCTTTTCGGTGAAGGGAATTACTTTTGTATGATAATAATCGATCAGTTTTTCTTTTTTATCTTCAACAAATGGGATAAAATTTTTATGATACCAAGGTTTAATTTTATTTTTGTTGTAATCTGTCATAATCACATAAATATTATTGGAGTGCTCCTGTGATTGGATTAAAATAGGGGTAGCATATTCTTTGGCTTTACCATAATAATTTTCAACATGTTCTTTGGCATGTTGATCATAAAATTCTTGAGTTTTTTCAATACCCACGAGAGCAGGAGAATAAACATATTCAATCGATAATTCTTTGACTGTTTGCACGTGAGGTTCAGCAGCTTTTAAAAGTGGATCTACGTAAGCTTTGGCATGAGTTTCATATTGTACTGAAACCGTATTCAAAACTTGATTTCCATATTTAGAACTTAAACTTTTAATTTCTGTAACCCCCGGCTCAATGTACTTAAATAAGTCATGAGTAAGAATATATTGAGATATTCCGTTAAAGCAAAGTCCTTCGAGAGGCCATTGAGAACATTGCTCACGAGTTTTACCATGACAGACGAAAAGGACTAAGAACACATAAAGAGCGAATAAATTTCTAAATGTAAGTAATGAAAATGCTCTCTTAAAGATACCGGCTTTCTTTGGTCTTCTTCTCTGTAAAAAAAAAAAAAAAAAATACAATTTTTTTTTGTTAATAAAACTATTATCTGTAAAACCATTATTTTACTGTAATAAAAAAAAAATAAAATAAACCGACCCTACGCCTATCTTTAGTCCCGTTTTTTTCAGGAGTTCGTTGATTTGCTGGAGCTGTACCCACATTTATTTCTGCATTATCAGCCGGAGTTGAATTCTCGGGTGGTAGTAGTATGGGTATAGGTTGTTTGCTTTCCGTATGGTCTTTCTTGCTCTTTCCGCCTTTTTGATTGGTTTCTACATTTATAAACATTTGGTTTGAATTTTCGTAGTCGTGCGTGTGAATATTTTGTTGATCTCTTTGTTCGTTCTTACCTTTTTTATCTTTTTTATCTTTTTTCCCCATTACTATTATATTTGACTTTTAAACTTTGATATTTTTAATTTACTCTATTAAAAAGAAAAGTAGAAAAGAATTGAAAACGAAATTTTTTTGAGGCGAAGTGCATTTATTCTTCAAGCGTCAATTGATGACCCAATCAAATTTCTACGCGTTGCATTTTCTTTTAATTTTTGTACTTGGTTAGAACTAATCACTTTGTAATCGTCTGGTATCACATGTGCAGATAAAATACCTATTATTTAGAGTTATGCACATAAAATTTATTTCCTGTTTTAGTAGTCACTTAAAAATTAATCAAACGAACGAGGTTGATTATCGAATTTTTTTTTTGATTTATAAGATCTATAAGAGAATTATAAGTCAACATCGAAGGAATCAAAAGCATTCACTTCTATCATTGATGTTATTAATAAAAAAGTGAATATTTGAAATGTTGATCGAATTCTAAAATGACGATCTTGAGTAACTTGCATTTTTTTTCTTCTTTGGTGGCTTTTTATTAACTATAAATAATGTTTTAAATAAAGTTTTTTGAGATGTTAATAATTCAGATGATTTAATCAATTGTGGAAATTAATATAAATACCCCCCTTTGAATTTTCATTTTTTTTACCTAATTTTATAATTTCTTTCATTTTCCAACTTTCTTTTGATATTTTATTAGTCTTTGCAAATTCCTTGGTCATAATGAATAATAATAATAATAATAATAATTTTAAAATGTCCACCGAAACTAAAACTTTCTTAAAATTCTCTATTCCACAAATTATTTTAATGGTTATTAATTCTTCTCATTTAACTTTACTTAAAAATATTATTTTTATTTTTGTAATGTATCGTTATGGTAGAATTCTATTTAATAAACTTGTAATTCAAGGAGTTCGTCGTACTCTTTATGATTTATATAAGATTGTTGGTAGTAAATTAATAAAAGTAATTAAGAGTACACCAAGTGGTAAAGCAAAAATTCAAGGAGAACTTGATAAAGCTATTAAAGGAATAGAAGAAAAATTTGCACTAAAAGAAGAAGAAGGGATACCCAGATATATTGAATTACCAAATATTGGATTTGATGATCAAAAACTTCGTGAAGAATTAAAAAGGCAAGATAATGTTTTTATCGAAATCGAATAAATCAATTTGGATTAATACAAAAACTTCTTGATATATTTATTTTATTAATAATTTGAAATTAAACAAGAGATCAACATTCTAATAATAATAATAATAATAATAATAATAATAATAATAATAATAATAATAATCATCATCATCATCATAATAATTAGATATGAAAGAAATCAAGATGCAAATTTGGAGAATGGGCGTGTTTCAGGAACTGTATATCATGGAGGTCGAGAACATTCCAAGATGATATCTGAAGCATATGCTATGTTCTCTAATACTAACCCTTTACATGCTGAGATATTTCCTGGTGTACGCAAGATGGAAGCAGAAGTTGTTTCCATGGTATTAAAATTGTATAATGCACCTAGTAGTGCGGGAGGAACTACTACATCAGGAGGTACGGAGAGTATATTAATGGCATGCCGAGCATATCGTGATTGGGGAAAGAATGAAAAAGGAATTACTGAACCGGAAATGTAATAAATAATTTTTTAATATTTAATATTTTATATATTTTATATATTTTATATATTTTATATCTAATATTTTAATTTGTAAATATTTAATAATTTTTTGATCTATAGGGTTGTTCCAGATACAATTCATGCAGCTTTTGATAAAGCAGCAGATTATTTTAATATAAAAATTGTTCATATTCCTATTGATCCTATAACTTGTAGGGTTGATATTGTAGCTATGTCAAGGGCAATTAACAAAAATACTATTATGGTATATTCAATTTTATTATTTATTATTTATTATTTATTTATTTTATTTTATTTTTTTTTATTTTATTTTATTTCTTATTTTATTTTGAAAATTTTAAAGTTAAAAATTGATAAAAAATTTTGTTTCAGATTGCAGGATCAGCACCAAATTTTCCTCATGGAATTATTGATGACATTCCTTCATTGGCTACAATTGCTGAAAAACATAATATTGGATTACATGTAGATTGTTGTTTGGGAAGTTTTTTAATACCATTTTTGGAAGAAGCCGGATTTCCTGCTCAACCTTTTGATTTTAGAATACCCGGAGTTACCTCAATTTCTTGTGATACACATAAGGTATTATTTTTTTAATTAGATTAAAAGAATATTCTAGAAGCAATTAATATTATTCTTACTTTATCATTCTTTATGTTTTGAATTAATATTTAGTATGGATTTGCGCCCAAAGGTTCTTCTGTGATAATGTATCGTACAAAAGCACTACGTAAATATCAATTTTTTTTTGCAACTGAATGGACTGGAGGAATTTATTTATCACCGACGATGGCCGGTTCTCGGTAATTAATTAATTTATTGATTGATTGGTTGATTGATTAATTAATTTTAATATATGAATTATGAATAGAGTGAATAATTTATAATAATTTATAATAATTTATTATATTTATAGTCCGGGAGCACTTATTGCTGGATGTTGGACAGCATTAATGAGATTGGGTAAATATGGATATATTGATGCAACAAAAAAGATTGTAGGATGTACTAAAAAGATCGAAGTAGGGTAAGTTGAAAGAATAAACTTTTTTAAAAATAAATAAATAACAAATAAAATAATAATATTTTCTTTCTTTTTTTATTTCATTTTGAAAAAATAGAATTCGTAAAATAGATGATTTATTTGTATTGGGGAAACCATTGGTTTCAGTAATAGCTTTTGGATCAAATACATTAAATATATATAATATAGGAGATAAAATGAATGAACGAGGATGGAATTTAAATTCATTACAAAATCCTCCAGCAATTCATATTGCTTGTACATTATTAACAGTTCCACACGCTGAACAATTTATAAAAGATTTACAAGATTGTGTAAATGAGGCTAAATCTGATTCAAACAAAAATTCCGAGGGTACCGCAGCGATTTATGGTATGACAGCTAGATTACCTGATAAATCTCTTACGAATGAAGTATTAGGTGGTTATTTGGATACAATTTATTCTATTTAGTCAGCCCAAATTTTTTGTAACCTTTTTCCTCATTTTATTAATTTGTAATATTGTAATATTATTAATTTGTAATCTTATTAATTTTTTATAATTTAAATAATTTAAATAATTTAAAAACCTACAAAATTAATATTAAATAAATAAATAAATAATGATATTAAAATTAATTAATAATTAATTAATAAAAAAAATACTTACAACAATTGCAATCGAATGGGCATAATGGTGTATCTTAATTATATATTATTATACATTGAATGAATGAATGAATTGAGTAATGAAAAAAAAAATTGCAAGAGAAATAATGAAATATGATGAAATGAGAGATGAAATTAATATATTTACCTCCACCTTCACCAACGTTCAATTCATTAATATCATAAATGGCAAATCCATCTTCCGTCGTTTTACGATTCTTTGTTCCTCGTGAATCACTAAACCCATCATCATCATTTTGTTTTAATATTCGTTTATTTAATTTTAAACGATCCGGTAATTCGGGAATTTTAAACACAAATTCTTTGACTTTGTTATCGTCTTTTCTCTTTTCTACTTTATCATCAATAAATTTATCATTATCATCATTTTTGATACTAGTAGATTTCGTAGAAGATAAAGTGATGGTGGAATTTTTTATTTTAGAATTTGAATTTGCATTCTTTTTATTATTATTTTTTGCCAATGAAAAAATTTCATCGATTTCATTATTACTATTATTACTACTATTATTATTATTATTGTTGTTGTTGTTGTTGTTGTTGTTATTGATTAATTTCTCTTTCTTTTTTTTCCGAGAAAGTTTAATGGATTTTTTATTAATATTTTTAATATCCATTGTTCAAATATATTTTATCAGTATCTTGAATGATAAAAATAATAATTTTTATGCAATTCCACGTGGTAATAAAATCTTACATAAATGTTGGATTTACCTAATTGTCATGATTTGATTTTTTAAACGATGCGTCTTAAAGAATTGGAAAGTTCACTTCAAAATCTTTCCGGATTTGGTAATTTTAAAAATGTCGAAGTAAAAATGTGATTAAAGTAAACTTATATATATATATATACACACATATATCTATATGAAATATATGTGATTATATTAATAAAAATTAGATGAACCCAAAATAACACTTGAACAATATTGCACCACTCCACACCTTGCAGCAAGAATGCTTTATACTGCACATTCAGTTTATGATGATATTGAAAGTAAAGTAGTGGCTGATTTTGGATGTGGTTGTGGAATTTTAAGGTGAGAAATACCTTATTTTAAATAACACAATGTATGGTAGTAAAAAAAAAAAAAAAAAAAAACTGACTGAAAGTAATTGATTTTATGAAGATAGTATTGCGTCAAACCTTCTTGAATCAGAGTAAGCAATTCCAATCTTTTCTTTTTTTTAATGATTTTGCCAAGAAATTAATAATTCAATTCAACACAAAGTAAATAACACACAAAATAATAACAAACATATATATTATTTTTTTTAGATTCAATATGGCATTAGACATAGATTTATCAGCTCTTCAAACTGCACAAAAGAATTGCTCTAATTATGAGGTTGAAGTGGATTTTATTCTTACAGATATTAAATCAAATTCATTATTTAAATGGAAGAATAAAGTGGATACAATTGTAATGAATCCACCATTTGGAACAAGAACCAATAAAGGAATAGATATGATTTTCCTTAAGAAAGCTCTTGAGGTTAATTAATTAATTTAATAAATAAAATTATTTCTTATTTTGATATATAGAGAGAGATATATATATTTACAATAAAATTGTATTGTAATTTTTAGATTGCAACGACATCAGTGTATTCTTTACATAAGAGTTCAACTAGAGAGGTAACTTAAAGATATATTATTATAAACTTTAATAGATCAATCCCATTTGATAAAATGATTTAACTCTAAATATATTATTATTTTTTTCTTTCCAATAATGAAAATAATAAAACAATAATAGCATATATTAAAAAAGGCTAAAGAATGGAATGTTGATTATGAAATAATTGCAGAAATGAAGGTCTGGTGTTACATTGAAAATTATTATTGAAAATTGTTGAAATTATTGAAATTATTAATTATTGAAAATTGTAAACATTATAAAATATTTCATTTTATATTAATCTAGTTTGATGTTCCAATGATGTATAAATTTCATAAAAAAAAATCAGTAGATATAGAAGTGGATTTTTTTCGATTTTCAAAGAAAGAGTCGAGAAATTAAAAGAAAATTTAATTTAATTTAATTTAAGAAAAAACTACATTTAACCAGAGGGAAAATTTAACCGGTGGGCAGAATTAAGTTAATGTTGGTAGGGTTAGGGATTGACCAGGAATTATGTAATTCTGCCTACGGTGAAATTTGAGTTGTTGCTATAAAACTTGATTCAATTTCCAAAATTAGATTTAATTTCATAAGGTTAAAAGATTTTCTATGCTATTTCCACATATATATATCTATGCATATAATAAATAAAGTAAAGAGAAAGAAATATTATTATTTGAAAAATGCTTGGAATTATAACCTACGCAATAGTTACTATTTTGTTCTTTGGTAATAATATATGTGGGTTGACTTCGATGCTTTTACCTAAATGGTACGTTTATTTCTTTCTTAAAAAAAAAAAAAAAACTTTATTCCCTTCATTAGTTTATATAAATTATAGGTTATTTTAATTACATTATATTGTTAAATTCTTTGTTTTTTGCGAACCTGATCTATTCTAAACAATTCTTACTATCCTAATAAATTCTTCTTAACAATTTTTATTACAATTCTTAACTATTCTATAAGAGGAAAATATATGTTCTGATGATACTTCTAAAATTTTTTTAATAAATACTTTTTATTGAAGGTTAGTTTTCGAAAGCCCAAGACCATATCGTACAATAACAAATTATGGTTTATTTAAGGTAAAAAAAAAAATAAAACTTTTTCACTACATATATATATCTATCTATCTATGTATTAAATTAATCATATTAATTTATTTATTAATTTTTTATTTAAAGAAATGTTCAAGTTTAAATGAAGAAGGTTGTCGAGCATTTCCATTAGATGAATATGGAGATTGTGATGAAGATTTTTTTTGTCAAGAATGGAATGCAGCTAGTGTTGATATGATACTTGCAAGTATCGTAGGGGGTGTAACTCTTTTTTATTTAATTTACGTATTATTTGGAGAAACAACTCAACGTGAAGATGCATGGAAATATATTACGGGATCTATCGTATTAATGTGTAAATATTTTAATTATTTTAATTTTTTTTTTTTTTAAAAAAAAATATTTAATTTCTTTTAATATTTAATTTTATTGTCTTTTGATATTGTTATAATAATTATTATTATTATTTTAGCATTACTTCAAATATCAACAATCTCAATGATCGCTCATCTATACAATAAATCTGATAGATTTTATTATGGTGTAAAATTTGATGTTAGTTTTATGTTAGCTTCTGGTTCAGCAGCATTTAATTTTATGTTGGCTTGTATAATATTTATAGTGGGATATAAATCAAGTAATGGTAATGGTTATGAACCTATTGAATAATTGAATTTAAAAAATAAATTAATAAATAAATAAATAAATGTATTATTATTAGAATTTTTGTAATCAATATAAATAATATAAATATATATAATATTTTAAATTTTTTATTAATTAATATAAAACATGAATTTTACATCATATAAAATTTGACAGAATTGATTATTATTATTATTATTATTATTATTATTATTATATTATTACAATCATCATTATTATTATGCATTTTTTTTAATATCAACGTATTTCACTGTTTTCACTATTAACAATTAAAAAATTTTAACTGTTATTTATTATGGTTATTAATAATTATCAGCCATCGTTTGATAAATCGTAGCGCTTGCGGGATTAAGCTTACCATCACTACTAGTAGATGGTCCGGGACCATCATGTAATGAATTAAAAGGCATAAAGATGACTTTGGCGCCAGTAGTTTTTGACATTGCAGCCATTGTTTCAAGGTATCGAATTTGCTATTATAAATATGAAATTTAATTATTTTTAAAAGGAAATAATTAAATATTGTAAAATTATATTATATTATATATCTATCTTTATACAATACCATTGCAGCTGGTGAATTAAGAAGTTCGGCAGCTTGCCTCATGAGTTTTGCAGAATCAACTAAAAATAAATAAATAAATAAATAACGAATTAATTTATTTAATTCATTTATATTTGACTTATTTAATTTATTTAATTCATTTAAATTCATTTAATTTAATTTAATTTAATTTAATTTAATTTAATTCATTTAATTACCTTCAGCCTGAGCAGCAATAACTTTACTCTCACCAATTCTCTTTTGTTGAGCTGCCGAAGAAAGGGAAGATTGTAAGTCCGCCGAGAATTGAATATCCTTAATTAAAACACTTTCAATCTTTTCACAAATAAATAATTAATAAATAAATAAATTAATAAATTAATAAATTAATAAATTAATTATTAATTAATAAAATATTTAAATGAATATATGTTAAAAATTTATTTATACCTTAACACCCCAAGCGTGAGCAGGCTCATCAATGATTTCTTTAATTTCAAAAGCAATTGCTTCACGATTTTCAATACAATCTTGAAGAACGCGTGTACCGAGAATGTGGCGCAGAGTAGTTTGGGCGCTAATCAATTAATTATTAATTAATTAATTATCATTTATAGTATTTAATTTTAAGAAAAAACACTTACCGTTCAACAAGGGCTTTTTGAACATTAGTAATACCAAAGGTTGCTTGGTAGGGATTAATCACGTGCCAGAAAATAATTGAATCAATGTTGACATATACATTATCCTAATAATAATATAATAAAATAAATTAAATGAACCTAAAGTACTATATATATATATATATTCAGTTCCTAAAAGTTCTCCAATAATAATACCTTTGTCATAATTGCTTGTCTTGGAATATCCGTGACTTGTATCTATTAATTTTATTGGATGATTTTATTAAATTATTTTATTTAATAAAATAAACCTTTTATAAATTAAAAAAGTACCTTGATATCAACTTTCTGGATTTCTTCCGTGAAGACATTTACTTTGACCAACCCCGGATCAACAGATTTGTAAAATTGTCCTATATATACATATTTTTATATAATTACGTGTGTATTGTAAAAAAAAAATTTCGAATCTATAAAAGGAAAAAACATTCACTTACCAAATCGTGAAATCAATCCTACAAAACCTTGACCAACTTTTTTGTAAGGATTAGGGAAACAAAAACATAAAGGAATCTAAAATTTCCATTTAATAATTATAATCATCAAATTATTTTTTTTTTCTTTCAAATATTTATGTATAAGAATTAATTTATTTTTTTTTTACCGATCCAAACGTTCCGCACAACACGCCAAGACAATTCATCATACCACCGTAAAATCCGTGAGGATTATCTCCGAGAGGATATGTCTTGGCATAACTAGATTGCATTTGTTGTATATCTAAAGGCTTTAAATTTGGTCAACGCGTTACCGCAGTAAAATCGGTTACACGAAAATATAATAAATATAATATAATAATTAATTACAATTCATTAAATATAAATACCTGAATTGTAATAATTCCTCCACCACTAATTTCATTAATTTCATTAATTTCATCACCTTCCGAAAGTGATGCTTTCTTTCCTGAAGACATTATTATTGATTTTTGAATTTAATTCGTTAATTTTCGTTTATTTTCTTTTAATAATTATCAGAAAAGGGGAAAAGTTTTTTGGGAGACAAAAATTTACTTGTACATATATATATTAAATTTTTATATTTGTACTGGTGATTTAGTCACCCGATACTCATTATATATTTACACAAGAAATACGTAACCAAAATTAGCGAAATAAAGGTATAATTTTTCATATAAAAAATTCTTCGTAGAAGAAAGGCTATAAATAATTATAATTGTTAGTACAAATTAGTAAAAATTAAAAATTCGATAGATAAACAAAACTTTTGATGCATTCGTTTAAATTTAATTGTTAAAGAAAAATGAAGGGCGCGTTTATCAGCCCGAACTTGGGTACTCTCTTAAATCGGTAGTCTTTTCCTTCAAATAGTCAAATTAATCTTTTGTGATGAATTCAAATCAGATTATCTTTTTTAAAATTTTTTTTTGGTGCTAGTCAATACAATATAATAATAAACATTGATACACGTAAAGATAATTTTATTTAATTGACATAAAGATAATTTTATTTAATTTCATAAAGATAATTTATCGATAATTAGATATAACTAAGGTTACAAAAGTGAACTTATTATAATTATTCTTTTGAAAATTAATAATAATAATAATAATAATAATAAAATAATTAAATAATAAATATGAGAAATAGAAAATATTTAGTCTTAAAAGAATCGAATCTATAATAAGTAATTTAGTTTTAAAAAAAGAATCGAATCTATAAGTAATTTAGTTTTTTTAAAAGAATTAAATTAATAAACTTCTAAAATATATCGTTCCATATCTTTTAATTTATTAACCCAATCATTTGCTTCACCCGCTGTCAATTCTCCTGTTGACATGAAACTTTTTACAATAGCATCTTTAACATCTGGTACTGGCCATGTAGGTCCACATAAATAAAACCATCCCTCATCTTGCATTAAGTATTGTTGTATTAATGCGGAATCTTCATTCATCTTATGTTGAATGTATACTTTTTGTGGTTGATCTCGAGAAAATGCCAATCGAAGATATGTTAATAATCCTTCTGTGTGATATGCTTCAAGTTCTTCTCCATAAAGATATTCCATTGATCTATTACGAGATCCAAAGTAAAGAATCATTGGTCCCACTTCTTTCCCTTGCGATTTTCGATAAGCTCGTTCTTCAATAAATGCTCGGAATGGTGCCATTCCTGTACCAAGACCTGCCATTATAACTGGTTGTGAATCTCTAGGTGGAAGTTTCATAACTGATGGTTTTATGGAAACCGTAACACTTGTTCCTATTTTAAGTCTTGATAAATAACGTGTACAATGTCCATATCGTTTAGAACCTGAACTGATACTCCATTCAACTGTAACTACTAATAAATGTACACTATTAGGATGTACACTTTGTGCTGATGCAATTGAATAATGACGTGGTTTAATAGGTGTGATCATTTGTACAAGATCTTCCACAGGTGGTCGAGCTGATGTAAATTCATATAAAATATCCGCATACGTAGAGGTTTCAGAAACTCGATTCTTAAATTCTTCGGTACCTTCTTTACCAGCTATAAATAATAATTTATTTTTCTCTTTTTCATCCGTTGCGAATTGTGCTAAGGTTTCGTAAAAACGTTTGGGTGGTCGACCAAATACATCAAGAACTTGAGAAAATACTTGGAATATGGTTCTTGATTCATATTTATCTCCTTCTTTGTTAAGTATTGAAATAATATCATCAGGATTCAATTCATAATACTCTAAAAATCTATTAACCTCTTCTGTATCATTATGACCATATACACCAAGTGCTTCTCCCAAATCATATTTTAAGTCTGTTCCCGAAGTATCAAATTCGATATGGAATAAATATCGATCATATGATTCTGGGGTTAAGCGTCGATTCTCGGAAACATGAATAGTAAAAGTTTTTTCCGATACATCTGGACGAACTGTTTGATTAGTTTTATAAGCTTCTTTGAAAAGAAAATTTCGTGCGGTTGTGTGCCAAGAAGTAAGTTTGGGAATTTCAGTTAATTGTTGGTCAAGATTTGGACAAAAGGAATTATCAATAATATTAGGAAGTAATATTTGTTCCGACTTTTCTAATATCAACCAGGTAGGAGGAATTTCAACATGAATTATTGCTTTTTCAGTCTCTTGAACTATAGAACCAAATAATAATCCAACTTCTTTTTCATTATTACTCTCGTAAAAACTAGAAATGGTGTCGGATACATTATAATAAAATTTAATTTCACTATCAATAATTTTAAAAAATGCAGCTTGTAAAACAACATTGGTTCCAACATCTCCAATATCTAAATTCAAATCATTAACAATCTTATCGACATCGATTATGTATAACCGTATATTACGATTTGCGGCTTCATATCTAAAATCATTAGGCAACTTTGTTTCTAATTCATCCACTGTCCAATTGGTATTTAAGAGAACGATTGCACCATCTTTGGCGTAAGTCAAAGTATTATATTTACTAGTTAAACTAGCATCATTAATAGAAATAAAATCGACTCCCGACTCAACATCATGAACACCACTACCTAACTGTAATTTAGTAGTCACCACACCACCATTATTATAAATATCGAATGTAGGTAAACTTGAAACATTCGATTTTAAATTATTAGCAAGTATTTGAGCAATATGTTGACTGGAGGAAAAGGTTTTCCGAGATTCGGTATCCCAAAATAAATATTGATTTACATTAGTTAATGTGGGAGAATTTTTGTCAACTGGTAAATTTTCGTCAAAATTAATCCTTTTTTTCCCTTCTTGCAATTGTTTAATAATTGAATTAACAACACGGAAATTGAATTTTTGAGATGGGGAATATTTCACATCTATTAATTGGGGGCGAGAACCAGTCCATCCACCATATAATGAAATAGAAACATCATTAAATAATGTAGAACCCAAATTGTATGATCCACCCATGTTTGAAGAGACCTGCTCCAAAACTGCAATCCGTTTCGTTGTCTTTGGTAAAGCTGCCAAAAAATGTTTTTCGGACCATGGTCTATAGACTCTAACAATAATAGCACCAATCTTGCTACCATTCTTACTAATACGATCCACAGTTTCTTTAACAACGGCTGTTTCTCCACCATAAACGATTAATAACGTTTCAGCAGTTGGTGATCCAATATATTCAAATGCTTTGTATACGTGTTTAAGAATTTTACCAATTCTAATTGCAATTTTTTCAAATATATCCACGGAATTACTGGTGGTTAAAGGATAACCCTCTGCAATAACCTCTTTATTTATTTTATGAATCTCGGAATATGACAAGAGATTAACTTTGGAAGATTCCTGAGCTGTTTTCACACCATCAAATATATGTAAATATGAGGATGATGTGGATATCGAGACTAAATGAGTTATTAATGCGATGTCATGAATTTCCTGAATTGAATAAGAGTTAATAATTCCCAATCCGGTATCTCGTGCCAAAAATGCGTCATTATAATTAGAAAATTTTTCGAAATTCTCATTAAAACCATAGGCGGAAACATGAATTACCAATGGAATTTTCTTATGGGAAATATTGTATAAATTTGAAATCATTGAAACTATCGAATTTGATGAAGAAAATACCGAAATGACATCACCAGAATTCACATAAGAGGCAGCTCCTAAAATAGCAGATATAGCACCTGAGCGAGTATTCATTTGAATTGCATTACAAACTTTCCCGAAAGCATTTTCCGCATTTTGAGAAGACCAATGTGATACGACTTCCCCAACATAATGGGATCGTAAAGTTGGATAAATGAAACTGGTATTACTTAAAGCGTAAGCTACATACGATACAGCTGTTTTACCATCCATAAATCTTATTCCGCCTTTTGTTAAAGTTTCTAATGTAATATCGTTATCCATAATTTTTGATTTGATAGACATTAATTGAGTTGAATCCCCTAAAGTAGTTGAAGATTCTGAAGATGCATCTGACTCATCCCCAAGGTTTTTACATTCTGAAACCAATCTTTTAATATCATCATTAGTAAGATCAGCTAACTCTTGAAGAGGTAAAGGATTGGTTATCTTGTTTATAATAGAATTATTACCAATCTCTTTCTTAATAAGGGAAACGTTATTAATAGCAGAAGTTAGATTCTTTGGTAAACTTTCGATAATATGTTGTCTAAGTTTTCGGGAAATTTGTGAACTGGTTCCGTTGGTAGATATGGCTACTTGAAGTGGTCCATCCCGATAAGTTGGAACAAACAAAAAGTCACATAATTGTGATATTTCGGCAACGTTAATTGGTATTTTTAGTTTACGAGCGATCGAAGCAATTTCGTGTGATAACTTTACATCATCAACAGCAGTGAGAATGAGGTCTACGGGTTCCTCCACTAGATATTTCTCATTAAATTCGCTATTTTTGTGAGTGACAGCGTGTTCGGCAATATATTTTTTGATTTTATCGGAAGAAACCTCATTAACTGGTGTTATTAAAGTTATCTTTCGAGGATTCGCGTCCAAAACAAATTCAATCCTGTTCGCTGTAATATGATTATTACCAATAATGAGAATATGACGACCTTGCAGTTTCCAACCGATTATCAAAGAGCTATTATTCTGAATAATTTTATTTCCCATAATTATTGGATAAGGATGGTTTTTTTTTGTTTTGGGCCCGAAATTTTCAAAAAGTTTATAAAGTTTATAGTTTATAATAGATCATCCAAAAAACGTGTACAACTTTTTTTAAATTTTTATCATATCTTTGTAGTCATTTTTTATTGGTAAAACTCAATTACTAATCAAAATCTTGATCTGCGACATCTACGACAGTCATATGAATATACCTAAATCAATCTTTTTTTAAAAAATTGTAAATCTACCATACAATAAAATGTTGATTCTTTCTGACTCTTTATTATATTTTTTGAGCCAATCAGAATGCAAAGATAAGATACCAATTATAAAATATGAATTTCCAATTTTGGAGACAATTTTGTAAAATATCGCATTTTGGTAATAGACTCTTTTCGTCTTTAAACCAATATCCTAATAATTCTAAAAGTTCTATAAGTTCTAAAAGTTTTATTAGTCCTTTAACGATGATCACTCAAGTTTCGATTCTCGATCCAAACACATTCATTTTTTCCACAAACGATCTCGAGGATCCACATTTCACCACCACGGATCCAAATGCATTTCAAATTCTCGAACATGCCTCCAAATTACTTTCCGAGGACCAGGTGATAGCAATACCTACGGAAACAGTTTATGGACTAGCTTCAAATGCACTTAGTTCCGAGGCCATTAAAAAAATCTATTTAGCTAAAAATAGGCCATCGGATAATCCGCTAATAGTTCATATTTCTTCTTTAAAAATGTTAAAATCTTTATTACCAAATAATAGTGAAATACCATTAATTTATGAACCTGTAATAAAAAAATTTTGGCCAGGACCATTAACAATATTATTACCAAAATCCGATTTAATCCCTTCCGAAATAACATGTAATCAACCTACAGTGGCTATTAGATTTCCTTCACATCCAATAGCTCGAGCATTGATATCTACATTTGGATTCCCATTGGCAGCACCTTCGGCTAATGCCTCAGGAAGACCTTCACCTACTTTAGCATCACACGTTTTAACAGATTTAGATAAAAAAATACCATTGATTATAGATGGTGATCAATGTAACTTTGGTGTAGAATCCACAGTATTAGATGCAATTGGAAGTAAGGATCCATTGATTTTACGACCAGGTGGAGTGACATATGAGGCATTAGTTAAGATACCCGGATTTGAAAATTTGAAAGTATATAACAAGGATTTTGTGAACAAGAAATATGAAATCACACCTATCACTCCAGGAATGAAATATCGTCATTATTCTCCAGATGCTGAAATGATATTAATCGATGTTATAAGTAATAAAGTGAGGAATATAATAGATAGAGAAATTCAAAATTTTAAAAATAAAACTATTGGAATTTTAATCACCCAGCAAAATGCAAAATTATCAGATAACATACAAACTATATTTATGAATGGTCCTTTGAAATGTTCATCAGTAAGTGAAAATCCGATGAAATCAAATCGAAATATTTTACAATATATTTTGGGTGATTCATTACATCCAAAACAAATAGCAAGAGAGTTATTCAAAGGGTTAAGATACCTTGATGAATGTAAGGTAGATCTTATATTTGTAGAGGGGATTTCGGAAGAGGAGGAAGGGTTGGCAGTTATGAATCGATTAAGAAAGGCTGCAACTAGGATTATATATGAATGAAACACGAAATTTTAAAGTTCACGTGATATTTAGATGAATTTTTATCTATATTTGGTGTGTTCATTTAATCCATATTGATATCTGGTTGAATGAGATTGTATAGAAATCTTGTTATCAGAATATCTTTACGATCCTTGTGGATCAATTGGTCAAAGCGTAATAGATACCAGATGTAGAATTTGGCAAATGAACTTCTATCTGCATTTCAACATTCTGATCAATACAATCAATACCAAAATCCTTTATAGAATACAATTCATCTGATCAATTTATAACAGTTTCTTTTACACATTTACATAATTGTTTTACTGATGGAACCTTTAAGAATAGAAAAAAAAATATATTTTTCAAAAGATGTTATTTTAATACAAAAAAAGTAATAAAGTTGGAAGAAGGAAATTAGATGTAAACTTGGTGAGTGAACAAAAAATTCAAATGCAAAAAAAATTCCAATTAAATTATTATTGACCAGCAGAAAAAATGAAATATCACGAGATAATCTATTACTCCAAAATTCAAATGATCAGAATGAACCATTAAGGAAAAAAATAAACCCGAAGAAAATCAATTTTTAGAACCTTTAATAAATATCTAACTGATGATCAAATAAACAAAATTCAGGAAATACTATGAATAGGATAAAAATAGAATAAGTCAATATATATTTTGCCATAGACGAAATAAAAATAATAATTAACAATAAATGTAAAGTACTCAAAAGTTTAAATGACTGGAAGAATTAATAAATATTTTTTTATATTTATTCTTTATTGAAAAAGAAAGTAAAAAATTTATTAACAAATTTAATTTTTAATCCATTTTTATCTTTGTTTTATTATGTTAAAAAAAAAAAATAGTTGCATATAATTCATAATTTAAAAAAGTGTTTACATGAAAAAAAAAGTTTAAAAAAATGAAGATAGTTACTAATTTTAGAACCTAATTCATAAGAACTTTAGGTTAAAGTTTTGATCGAATAAAAAGATTAAACTGTTACACGAAAATTTTAATATGAATCTGGCACTGTTAAGATGGATAAATAATTTTTTTTCGTTTCTTGTTGTTGAGCCTTATCTAAAATATTTTTTATCAAATTTATACGAAAAAACAATTTCTTTTTAAATTTATTGCTATAGTTTTCAAAAGGTTTGAATTAAATACTTAAAATGCAAGCCTTTATTATTTAATTGATTTGAAATGATCAATTTTTTTTTTCATTTTTATAGATTTTATAAAATACAGTAGCCAAGCTGTTTGGAAATTTGTTAAATTCGGTCCATAACCCTCACCGGGGCTTACGAAGAACCAATTCACTTAAAACTAGGTAATTAATAGGAATAAATACAAAAAAAATACTGAAAAGAATATAAAAATAAAATATTCATTTTATTATATCTTATTACGTAACTATGTTATATTAATTATTCATATATTTTTTACATATAAATATATCAAAAAAAAAAAATAATAATAATGTAATAGATAATATGCCCCCTCAAACTCTCTTTTACGAACAGCCAGAAGATGCTTCTGTATCTTTAAAAGTTGTCTCCCCCAACGTTCAATATACCGATACCCATATTTTTGCTAACTTTGTGTATAACAATGCAACTGTAATCAAGAAAGGTAGAACTCTCGAGGTTTTTCCAACAGAGACGAAATATCAATTTAAGACAGAATTAAATGTTCCAAAAGTTGGGTATGTAATATCGTGTTCGACCTTAAAATAGGTTACACGTATTAAAATTATTTATAAATGCTATTAAGTAATAATGAATATTATGATAAGAAATATACTGACTATTATTATGTTTATTAATAATTTCATAGGTTAATGATTGTTGGTTGGGGTGGCAATAATGGTTCTACCTTAACTGCTAGTATTGTTGCAAACCGTGGTAACATAACTTGGCGAACCAAGGAAGGAATTAAATCTCCAAATTATTTTGGTTCTGTTGTTCAAGCCTCAACACTTAAATTAGGTGTGGATGCCAAGGGGAAGGATGTTTACATTCCTTTTAGTCAAATTCTTCCTATGGTCCATCCTAATGATTTTGTTCTCGGTGGTTGGGATATTAGCTCTTTAAATCTTGCACAATCAATGGAACGTGCAAAGGTTCTTGACTATAATCTCCAATGTCAAGTTGCACCCGAACTTGAAAAAATGACTCCGTTGCCTTCTATTTACTATCCAGATTTTATTGCAGCAAATCAAAGTGACCGAGCTGATAATCTTATTTCCGGAAATAATAAAAAGGAACATCTCGAACAGATTCGTAAAGATATTCGAGAATTTAAGGCTGTTAATCAACTAGATAAAGTTATTGTTGTTTGGTCTGCTAACACTGAACGATATTCTGAAATTATTCCGGGTGTTAATGATACTGCCGATAATCTTCTCAAATCAGTCAATCAAAGTCATCCCGAGATTGCACCATCCACAATCTTTGCTTTAGCTTGTATTCTTGAGAAAACTCCCTTCATTAATGGATCACCACAAAACACCTTTGTTCCCGGTTGTATTCAACTTGCCGAACGTGAACGCGTATATATTGCCGGAGACGATTTCAAGTCTGGACAAACTAAAGTTAAATCCGTATTGGTTGACTTTTTGGTAAATGCCGGTATTAAGCCAGTTGGTATCACCTCTTACAATCATCTTGGAAACAATGATGGAAAAAATTTGTCTGCCCCCCAGCAATTCCGATCCAAGGAAATCTCCAAGAGTAACGTGGTTGATGATATGGTTTCGGCCAATCAAATTCTTTATCAACCTGGCGAACACCCTGATCATGGTAATATATAACTAATTTGTATCATTTGTATTGATTTATTATTAAAAATATTTTTTATTAATTTTTTATTATTATTATAATATTTTAGTTGTTGTAATTAAGTATGTCCCTACTGTAGGGGATTCAAAACGAGCTTTGGATGAATATGTCTCAGAAATTTTCATGGGTGGTAAAAATGTAAGTAGAAAATCATTTAACACTTATTTTATATGATTAATGATCACTAATTAATAATTTTTATTTATTTAGACCATCTCTTTATATAATACATGTGAAGATTCTCTTCTTGCCGCTCCTCTTATTTTGGATTTGGCCATAATCGCTGAACTTATGACTCGTATTCAATATCGTGTTGGTGAAAATGAGGAATTTGCACCTTTTAACGCAATTTTGTCCATTTTGAGCTTTATGTTAAAAGCTCCTTTAGTACCAACCGGCACTCCTGTTGTTAACGCATTAAGCAAGCAACGAATGGCAATGGAGAATTTCTTCCGCGCATGTGTCGGCTTAGCACCGCAGAATGAGATGCTTTTGGAACACAAGACAGCAATGAAATGAATATTTTCTTTTATCTTCTCTCTATATGTTTTCATACATATAAGAATTTTTTAACTTTGATATAAATAAAACAATTTATTGAATTTCAACCAAACGAATTATTTAAATTTCTTTGTTACTAACTCTCTTCAAAAATACATAGAAATATCACCAGTACAAATCTTCCTTTATTCTTTAATTATACTAACCTCTACATACAACAAACAAATTTTCAAATACTCGTACGACCTATCTTTTTTTTTTTTAAAAAAAAAAAAAAAAACCTAATCAATTTTTAAGAATAATCGAATTTTGATAGTCTTGATTTGGTTTAAGTCGATTTTGTAGTGAAGCCTGAAAATTTCAAAGTTTGACCACTTAAAAATACATCTTTCTCTACCGTAGTATCTTTAGTCAACTCTCAATGATTGTTGATAATACGGATTTGGAGAGAGAGAGTGTGTGTGAGTCTCTCTCTCTCGAGATACCTTCTGGCCTTTACACGTGGACTCTCTCGTTTTTTATCTTTATTTTCTTGGTAGCAATCTAAATAAAGAAGAATTCGACAGTCTTCATGTGTTTTGCGGAGGACAAAATAAAATAGTACTAATTAACTTTGTAAAAGTGTGTAAAAGGTGCCATTTTATGCACATTAACCTTCTTGACACTGTTCGTAAATTTATACGTGTTTGTTGATCGCATGATTACCTAATGGAATTTTATTGGAACGTCATAATGTACCACCTAATTAAAAATACATTTCGCTGGCGTATTTCGAGATTTTTTCATACATTTTTTATCAATAATGACGGTGTTAGATAACGACGCGGTAATTGCTGAAGTTTTCGTTATATTTTTTTTTGAAATTCATTTTATTTACCATTGAGAGATTCAACAGTTTCTTACACGGCTCACCCGAATTTTTGAGGATCAGAAGAATGTGAATTCCAAGAAAGTTTACCTTACTATGAAAAGACGTAAATTTCATCCAATATGAATTTGCATTCAAATCATTCTTCAATTAAAAAATTATCAATTTAACCTCATCTATTTTTTTTTTCCTCTTAGATAGTTGGAAATCGAAAAAACAAATGACGACTGAAAGCACTAAATAATCTAAAAAACAAGATCCCAAAGAACAAATCAAAGAGGAGGATGAATCTAAACGAGAGGATGATTACAAAGAATATCCTCTATTACTCAGGGCAACTTGTGGAAAGACAAAGATTATTACATATGTGGGTTTTAATATTTTTTCTTATTCCTATCAATTTATTCTTTGCTTAGTTATTTTTCTTTTTTCTCGACAAAAGGTAAATTCTTCGGATTCAGACAAATTTTACACAGAATATAGCAATATACTCAAAGTTTACATGGATACCATGAAAAAGAAAGAAAGAAAGAAAGAAAAAGCAAAAAAAGAAATGAAAAAGACAATTCATAAAGTAAAGGCTACCACAGCTTAATTATGTGCAGCAAGATTTATTATTTTGAAATTATAATAAAGGTTAGATTATTTAATTATTACTTAATCACGTATACCCATAATAATAATAAAAGATAAGTTTATATTTATTTATAAATAATCGAACTTATAATATAATGCAATGCTAGAGTGAATTTATTAATTTAGTTTAGGAGATCTATCGTAAAAAAAATGGCTTTAATATATTATTACTACAAAACCTCTAACATGAAAAAAATCTCGGACATGGAAAAAATATTATGATAAAGAACAAGGGAAATGAAAATTATTATAATTTTGCCTCACCATTCGAACGATCAACACCAAGCTCCAATAATTTCCCGAAGGCCTCTGCGAAATCATTAAAGAATTCATCTTTGTTCTTTGCATAAATTTCAACTATCTCTCTGAATTTCTCATCGTCACGTAAGGCCAAGTCAGCGGGAAGCATCATTAAACGGCCACCCTCATTATTGTATTGAAGTTGATTGTTCACAATATTCTCGGTCCAATTTTCTTTCAATAAGCGTATAAAACTTTAAAATAAAACGCGTTTAAGTACACAAATCTGTAAGATATTAATAAAAAAAAATATTGGAGAGACGCTCACAATTGGTTAGTGAAGCGAGTAGGCGTATGAGTCCAAGGTCCTTCGTAACCCGAACGATCTTTATGACAACGACCGAGACTATGGGCTCCAATTAAAGCTACAGTTTGACTGCAAACAATAAAATCGTCAGTGCATGAGTCACGTGACAATTTGTTTGAAAATCAATTTCTTACCGATCATTGAACCCCATGCGACTAAATACGTGACGTATATGTTTTTCTCCTTGAGATGCATCGGGAAGACGACCATTTGGAGGCACTTTTTTATCATCATTTACATCCTTACGGCCAGGCTTCCACGGAACTACTGGGCCATTCATAAATTCAACGGAAACCACACCAGCAAGAGTCCAAAGATCGGCATCTAATAAATAAATTGGGATAAAAATTATTCTTTTATAAGGAAAACAATAAATTGAAAAATAGTAATAATAAGCAGATAAAGAATTCCCTACAAGAAATCCAAGGGTGCTTTTGCTTTATAGGTTCCAAGAAAGCGCGCGCATGTTCTAAACCAGCATTTGCGGGATCATTCGCTTCGATGGAAAATCTCATGGTGGCACCAGCGGAGCCACCAGTGCATGAATACTTGTCAAAAGTTCCGGAGGCATGCCAGGCTAAACGTACGAAAAGTGGTCCAAGAGACTTATCATCCCAGTCAGGGTTTGGAATGATCGCCTTAATATCCGTTCGTACTGCGTCGTAATCTCCTGGAGTAGACATTTTGTTAAATAAGTGAAATTGTAAGATGATGAGAAAAAAAATTTTTCTTTTTGAATTTGTTTTCAATGTGTAACAAAGGGTCGGTAACATTTTCTGCACGTTGGCTTTGTTTGTTTTGATGACCCATTGATTAACCTACTCTGTAGATTTCAAATTGTTAATAAAAAAAATAAAGATATAATGATATCGTTTTTTGTTATGATTTACAATGAAGTTTTGTTTATTTATATATGTATATATGGTAAAGAAGAAAGTTAAAATTGGTTTCTTTTTTATAATCATTTTCGCAACCTCATGACTAGGTGTAACTCTAGCCGCCGCCATAAAATTTATACTTTAAATATTTATAAATTAATAATAGGCTTATAAAAACCAATTGCTTATTTTTTTTAAAAAGGTAAAATCCTTATTTATGACAGGTTAAACTCTTGGAAAAATGATTTGTCTTATCTGAAGAAATGCCAAAAATATGATAAAATTAACCAATTAAATTTCATATAAATACAATATATATTATGTGTTAAAGCCTTTAACTCAGCAATAGAATAATAGGTGATTTTTTGGTTAACACTAGTCTACCTCTATAGATTTTTAACTTTTACTTTCCTGATAAACTTATATGTAATAAATATGTTGTGTTTTTTCTTTAATCAATTAAAACTGTGGTGTTTTTTTGCTATCTTATTTAATTTCACTGGAAATTTAAATTTACGGAGATATCACATGACCTACGGAAATTTATTCCAAAAAATTTTAATTTTTTAACTTCGGCCGAGATTTAAGCGACAGGGAGCGATTTTCTACTAAGGTATTTCTATGGATGGATCAAAACCCTGATTCTTGGCTACAAGATGATATGTGTTTCATTACTGTAGTATCGATATTCGCGGAAATTTTTGTGACGTAATAAAAAATTTATGGCACAAATTTTCACGGACGTTAGACTTTAAACGCAAATATCGGTGCTACAGTAATGAAACACTTATCATCTTGTAGCCAAGAACCAGGACTTTTGATCTGTCATAGAAATATCTTAGTAGAAAATCGCTCCCTGTCGCTTAAATCTTGGCCGAAGTTAAAGGTGAATGTACATGCGGAGCATTAGTTATCTACTTAGTTGACAATTAGCTTTTTGCCAGCGTGAAGTATGAATTCAAAAAGTAAATATGACATATATATGAAGTGTAGTGAAGTATTAGTTTCTTATTTAGTTTACATTTAACTTTCTACCTTTGCAAAGTAAAACAAAGCAAATATATTTATTAAGCATTTTATTAGCATCTTGTGCTTGTTTCACCAATAAAGAGCATAACAAAAAAATATATAACCACTTCGTAATTACTTTTAACAAATTTTTTAAGTATATGCTTGATATTTTTTTTGATTAATACTAGTCTATTATATTTTTCAATCTTTTTATAGGGTCGACCCAGGTTGATCAATTGATCAATTTGGAGGTACGAATTGAAGGTAGTTATCCAATTACTACCTTGAAATTTTTTAATAACAAGTGTTACAACCTGAAATCAAAGTAGCTACTTTTAATAGAGGTAGTTACTTTTGTTAAAAGTAACTATTTTTGTTATAAGTAATTACTTTTGTTACTTTTGTTAGAAGTTGCTACTTTTGTTAGAGGTAACTACTTTTATTAGAGATAATTACTTTTATTATAGTCATATAATAATTAAATACTGTAACAGATATTAAATTTATTAAATTATAGAATATTTTATAAATTACAGATTGAAAATAATTTATCATTGTTACTACATATAAAACTTTTTATTTTAATAAGTAAATTTCAAGAATGTAACCAAGTAATTCAAAATCAAGAATCAAAAGTATCTGTTATTAAAATATCAGATCTATTAATTTTAAATTGAGAGAATGATGCATCTAAACTTTTCTATTTTAAAATTAAATAATTAATATTTAAGTACTTATTGTACTCTCAGTTCATTTAATAGAGACTAGAAATTATACAAACAAAGTTGAATTTAGTTTATAGTTTTAAGTTTACTTAGTAAAATTTTTAGTATTTATAAAATAAAAAAGTTTAATATATAACAACTATTATGAATTATTTCTAATTTTTTATATTGTTATAAAAATAAATAATGAATATTATATCGTATAACATTAGTTACATGTAAATATATAAACAATGTAATTTTAGAGTTCCTTTTCTTATTCTTAATCAAAAATATGAAGAATATTATTGTATTAATAAATAACTGAAAAAATAATTATTCGATTGTCATATATTATCAAATTATACAAAAATAATTATCTATTTTAAGTATGGAACATTACAGTCTTCATAATTCTGATGAATCTATATCATCAGTGAAGCTGGCACGGTCAAAAAATCAATGCAACATTTTCTGTTCAAAACAACCTTTTAAACTCCTAGTTTCTGGAAGTTTTGAATCTGGAAAAATGAGTATGGTTGTGTATATCTTCTTTTAGGAGTATCCAAAAATTTATCCGATCATGTTTTGTGAAAAAGACAAAAGACGGAAACTATGGAGAAAGGTATATTCCTTATTAGTTACGATTGGTTAAATTATTGTGAAATGAAGTCATAAATAATGAATAAAATTTGGAGTACTAAATTTTTGTACTCATTTTAATTTTATTTATCGAGATTATCGAGATGCGATTTTATTAATTATAATAGCACGTGTCTTAAATTATTGATTTGTTTTTACCAGCGGAACCTTGCTGTGTTTATTGATGTAATGTTACAAAAAAAATTTTTTTTTTTTTGCAAAGTTTATATAAAGGCATGATTTATGAAACTTGTTTTTTTGTCCGGAAATAATTTAAAAGGATGGGTGGTGAGTTTTATTATAATTAAAAATTTAAATTTATTATTATTAATCTTTTGGAACGAATTATTTAAATTTTACACTAATTTCTTTAAACAAAAGTACGGATACTTTCAAAAAACAATGCCAGAATACAACTCGCAGAATGGTTAAAAACATTTCCTTCATTGAAGAATGCAAAACTTAAAATATTGAATTCCATGAAATCTTCTACAACATCTAAAAATATTCAATATCATAACCCTCAACTTGAATCACAATATGAAAGTTCATTGCTACCATTCTTTCAAAGTTCGCAAACCTCTCCCTCCAAAATCATAATACCTCCAACGTCACCTTATCATCATCAATTGCCAACATCAAAAACAACACGAATTGATAAAACACATCAAGATCATCTTGATAATCAAAATTCATATGAAATCAAGGCGTATCTTCCAGTTCTTTTGAGATCATTTAAGAATCTACAAGATGTATTTGATAATAATAAAAGATGGGCGGATACCCGACAATTAAGAGAAATGAGATTCTTTGACAATTTAAAAAATGAACCAAAATTATATTGGATTGGTATATATTTATTCATTTGATATTTTACCTAATGTTTTTTTTAATTATCTAATCAGTATATGATTTTTATCTCTGTAACGCCAATAAATAGGTTGTTCGGATTCACGAGTTCCACCCGAAATTATCACACAACTGGGTTTCGGACAGATATTTGTGCATCGAAACATTGCTAATCAATTCAAAACCGACGATGTTAATAGCATGTCAGAATTAGAATTTGCCGTGCATTATTTGAAAGTTGAACATATCATAGTTTGCGGTTTATATCTTAAATTTACCTTCACATTTTATATTGATTTTCTTATATCTTATATTGTTGCTGATATATAAATCAAATTTAATTTTATATATTATATGTAATGTATTATAAGGTCATACAAAATGTAAAGGGATCGAATCTGCCTGCGAAAATCTTAGGAATAATCTGAACACATGGTTATCAGACATTCGTAAGATTAAAGAATCTTGTCCTGAACTATTTCCCGATCAAGAAGCAATATCAAGAATGGGTAATAATGAGAGAAATAAAATTCACAAAGCTTTGGTTAAAAAAAATGTGATTAATCAAGTGCAAAAGATTTCATCAAGTGAGATAGTTAAAGAAGCGTGGAGAGAGGAAAGGCGAAAGTTAGCAATTCACGGATGGGTCCTCAACATGGAGAATGGCCATTTGGAAGATTTAGGTATCACTATTAGAAAATAATGTAATAGATTTTTTTTTTTTTGAACAATTGGACTTTGTATGCATTATTTAGATAAATTTCGGACAATAAATTAAATGTTTAATCTTCCTTATAATGTTTAATACAATATGTAACAACAAAAAAAAAAATAATATTTGGCATATTTAATTTACAAATGATGTTTATGTGTTAGACATGTCTTTACAAGGGTTGGTGAATCTTTTGTAGTTAAATAATTTAAATAATAACAAAATTCTATTTTAAAAAATTAATATATACAAAATCTACAAGTTTAACCCAATTGTTCCTCCAAAGTCAAGAATCTAATTATTTCGAATTTCCTTCTTAAATTATAATTATTTTATGTTTTATACGCAATATTTTACCAATTTAGGATGCAAAAAGCAACTTTTTGTATCCTAAATATTAGTTAAATTGTTAGTATGTATTTTCAATTATGAAAATGACCTACGAATGAAATAGTAATTAAAAAAGAATGTAACTTTAAAGTCTAAGTGTTGAAAAGAAAATCAAACAATAAAAATTTACTAACTCAATTTTCTTATTTTTTTATTATACATATATTATATTTTCAACGAATTAATGGTGAGATGGTTCCATTTGCATGATGATAACGCGAAAGTGAATTATTAGAAAGGGAATTCCTCTGCTTTTTTAAAACGCTGCAATTCTACAAAATTATCTTGAACGTATTTCTTTTTCCATTCAGAATATTGTTCCATGCTTTCGTTTTCTTTTACAAGTCTTGCATACAATCTTTGTAAAGCCTTTTCCTTCAGTTTATCGCGTCGTTTCCATAACTTACGCTGTCGCTTTTTTATAGCGTATTGTTCTTTCGGATTAATTGCAGCCTTTTGTCGTTCAATTCTTCGATAAATCAAGAATCTCGTTCTCCAATAATATGAACCTTTCCCCTTGGTTAAAATTCTTTCTCGTGAATTGGGATCAATTCCATACTTTTTCATGTCTTCATGTAAGCTTCGAATTTCATTAAAGTGTTCTGTTCTTTTATATAATTTTTCTAAATGATAATAAGTCATTCTATCTGGAATTACATTAGATTGCTTCATGATTTCGTATACTTTTTTCCCATCTTCATAATTTTTCGTAATCATAAAACCTTGTATCAATGAGGTAAAGGTAACTATATTAGGAGCAACTCCCTGATTATTCATATGAATAAGTATTTTAATAGCATAATTAACATTTCCTGATTTACATAACGAAGAGATAATGGAAGAATAAACATAAACATTAGGGGTTAAACCATTTGCTAATAAATCATTGAATACTTTGAAAGCCATTGCAAAGTTTGAACTTGCAACAGCGAGTGTTATAATCGAAGTATATGTATATAAATTTGGTTTTATTCCTGCGCTTATCATTCGATTGAAATATTTCCAAGCAATTTCTGTTTTCCTCGCCAAACCAAGAGAACGAATTAGTGGGTTGAAAACGTTACACGTTAGGGGTATATTTCTCTTTTTCATCTCATTAAAAGCCCCTGAATACTTTTCATGATCTCCGTTTCTGGACAAAGCATAAATTATGAGTTCAAATGTATATATATTAGGTTCTAAATTTTCTGATAACATTTCTAAATATAAAGTTTCAATCTTTTCTATATCAACTGGTTTTTCACGACTATGTGCAAATATGAGATGATTATATATAATTGTGTCAGGAATAATTCCAATTATTTTCATTTTTTCAAAAATTTCTCTTGCACCTTTAGCATCCACGATAATTCCACGTAAATAAAGAAGAGCAATGAACAAATATTTATGATGTTTTAGATCTTGGTTAACAATTTTCTTATATATCTTTGATGCTTCAACTATATTCCTTGTGCGTAAATTTGCAAATATAAGAGAAGTATATACACTTCTATCCGGTTCAACACCTAATTTTTGCATCTCATTATAAGTTTTAATTACCATATTCATATCATTTTTTCTACCATATCCACTAATTAAAGCATTAAACATTAGAGCATTTGGAGGTCCAAAATATTCAATCATTTCTTTTACCAGTTCTTCTGCTAACTCCATTTCATTCTTTTTACAAAGTTTATGAATTATGGTACTGTAAAATTTTATTGTTGGTCTTTGACCTGACAAATTATATAATCTAAGTATTTTTATCGCTGCTTCGGTGTCTTCATTATCACAATACATATATATCAAAATATGATACCATTCGTAATCAGCTTGCGGATGACTTGAAATTATGGCATCGATGATTTTATAAGCTGAATCAAAATCCGGAAATTTTGACAAAATGTCATTTAATTGTGATTTTTCAACATAATATCCCATTAAAGTCATTTGTCTTATCACATCAGCTATGATTCTAGTATCTCCTCGTCCAGCCAATGATTGTAATACACTTACATAAAGAGATGAATCCATAACTTTCTTTAGATTATTTGAAAATATATCTTTCATAACTTTATCAAGCCATTCGAAAGTCATATCATTCAAATTATCACATAAAAGTTTAAGAAATCGTCTAATATTCTCATTGGTCAAAAGTTTTATTTGATCATTGTCTACAATGGTCCTATATGATATCCAAGCTTTCCACGGATCATGACTATAAAAATTTAAATTATTTATCAAGATTATAGGTTTTTCAGAAAATTTTGAATCTTTTCCAACCATTTTATTAAATTTTTTTCTTGGAAAAATCACATTACTCAAATTATTATTATTATTATTATTATTATTATTATTATGACTTTGATGAGATCCTGTTGAAATGTCTGATGATGATGACGCATTATTATAGATATTTGTCATTTTCATTGAATTTAAATTCTTTGCGCTTCCTAATTTATTATGCTCATTCTTCAATTCCAAACAACTAATGTTTAGAATCGACTCGGCAGATTTACATGCTGTAGAAAAAATCGACAAATACCTTCGCATAGAGGTAATACAGAAAGGAGTGAAGTAAGGCAGTTCACATGAGTGGTGTACGGGTCTAAAGATAGAAATACGGAAGGAGGTAATACGGAAGTGAACAGCTCGTATTTTGGGAGGAGTAATTTTGAATTATACAAGAGAAATATTTGGTGAGGTACAAAATTAATAGGAAACTTTAATTTTTACCGCGACATTGAATAGGTTCACGTTGTTTGTTGAAAAGATAATGAAGTGATCAAAGGTAAAAATGTGAATCATCTTGTCTAAAAAGATTTGATCGACCAATCATAACTCGCTGATTATAAAATCTAGAACAAGATTTTATTGACCAATAAAAACTTTTAAATAGTTCACATGAGATTTTGTTGATCAAATATGTATAGTTCATTCAATATATTCAATATGCATTTTTTACTAACCATCACTATTGTTCTTATTCCATAAATTGTACAACAATTTAACCTAATTGACCAATTAGACGACCCTTTTTTACTATTACGGAAATTTGCACAAAGAAATAAAGACCAGAAAACGTGGCTTACCTTATATAATGCAATTCTTTTAAAAATTAACAAGTAAACCTGTTTTTTATGAAGAGTTAAAGACGTGAAATACATGAAATACATGAAATGTGAAATAAATACTATAAATAGTATTAATAATGAACGTTTTAACTAAATGTATTAATAATATAAATCATTAAAAGGTCAATCGCTTATTAACAAAAAGGCTATATTTGATTTCTGATTAAAGATGTAATTTTACCTTTTTTTTTTATTATGTGTATAAAGAATCAGAGAAAAAAAGACAAAAAAGACTTATTGCATTTTCAATGAAATTAAATAAATCTAAATGTTTAATTTATCGAGTTTTATAAGTTTAGGATTTACTGTCACACAATTCATTTTATTGTAATTTATTGGTTGATCATGTTTGAATGCTATATTGTGACGCGACTTATCATTAATTATCAACATATCCGATATAGACTGAACTCTCTTTTTGGTAAGCGCAGTTATGCTTGGAAAGTTTTGTGCTTCTTGTGTTTCTTGTACGCTGTTGTTTTCTTCAAGGGTTTTTTATACCATTTTTTCTTCTTTTTTTTTTTTTTAATGGTGGAGGTTGTTTTTTTGGCTTCTCTACTTCTTAATCTCTAATATAATCTCTTTTATTTTAGTAATAATAATAATTTGTTTTTATTAGTGTACTCCTCTAATTCTTTAATTCCCTTCACCAACTACTTGCGTACTTCTGTTAATTAATCTATAATATTTTTTGGGTGTTGTAATCAAAAGCATTAATTATTCCCATTAATAAACCCTATAGCGTAATCTTTAGACTTCACGACCATTTCGTTAGTTTGCTAAGTTTTTTTTTTATTTTTAATATCTTAACAAACTACTTTATCTCATCACATTTTTGCTGGGCAAAAATTTGATGTGAATATTTACATAATATACATAATATATTAAGTATATACAAGGATATTTATAAAAATGACCTCACAATCAGAATTAGGCAAAGAATCTTATACTACTAATGTGTCCGGAAGCAGTAATAATAGTTCACCTCAACCTGAGACGAGATTCTTCTCTAAAAGGTTGGTTGTCTTTTACCTGAAAAACGAAATATTTAACGTGTTTTGTTTTTCCTAACCAATCCGCGATTTTTTTTTTGAAAAACTTCCTTTTTTAAAACATTTCTTATTTTATTTCAAAACGTGTATCAATACGTGATCCAGAGCCAGAGAAATACAACTAGAAGAAGGCATTACTTCATATCGTTCTGGTGCTCTTCCACCACCTTCGCACTCTACTAATGGGGCATTTAATAATGGAACTCTTCTTTCAGACTCTACTTCAAATTCCTCACATGATTATTTAAATCTAAAGTCTGTCGGAACAAAAGGTTCACCTACTCCAAATGGTAGTAACTCTGATCATTTATCTTCATATCCCTCATCTTTCCGTCGTACTCGTGCAGATACATTACCATCTTCGTTGACACGACCAACTAGTATTATTGGTCACCACCCTACTTCCTCCTTATCTATGGCGTCTTCCATTGGATCCTCATCTGCTTCACCTCTCCTTACACCCCCGAAATCAAATTCTCGTCTCCGTTCTGGATCCCTTACATTACCGTCTTCATCCCTTTCTGCTGCCTTTGGTCCATCCATTTTTACCTCTGGTTGGTCTGATCATCGGAATGAACAGAATGGTCCATCTACTCCGCCTATGCAAACTCCTACCACAGGTGATTTACTTAGAGGTGATGAAAATAATACTGTTGGTAAAACCTTAGATTATTTGGGTTTAGATGATCATGAACATAGTGGTGTTTCAAAACGCTCTTCGAACGGTAGCCTACCTCAAATTAAAGTAGAAATGAAGACTTCAACTGGTGGATCGTTATCAACTCTACCTGCCCTTCGTAGAGATGCTAATAGAATTCGTTCATATTCCGTATCGGCTACAGCGAAATATGATGATCCACCACCTCCTACCACAGTCTCTACAAATAATCTTTTTCCACCTGGCGCATCCGTTGTTCAACAATTCCATCAAACGCATTCTAGACCTCGTGCCATCAGTTTAGGTATTTTAGATTTACCCAATGATATTATGTTGTTAAGACAAGGAAGGAATGGTCAAATGTATAGTGATTTGACTGACTCCGCACAAGGATCTACAAATTCATCTAGATCTCTTGGTGGTGAACAATTGTTAGGAATGATGCTTGTAGGTGCGATGGAAGGTAAGAAGAAGCAAAAACAGCAAATGCATATGGATGATGATTATTTGATGGCAGATCGCGAAGATATAGAGGTTGGTAATCCATATTATATGTCCAATATTCATATATTATTATGAAATTAACTGAATTTATTAAAATTTATAATTTTGATTATTAATCAGCATGCACGTTCCGGAGTGTCAAGCCCTCGTGACACCCCCGATCATTCGCAACAAAGCACTCCACCACCTCAAAATCCTACTCGATCACTGTGGATCGGTAATATTGATCCAAATCTTAGTACTCAAGACCTAATGCAATTATTTTCACCATATGGTTCTATCGAAAGTTTAAGACTTTTGCCAGACAAAGAATGTGGATTTGTTAATTTCACTCGTGTAGAAGACGCCATTCGGGCAAAGGATGATATAATGAATAGAATGGGAGGTCGTGTTGGAAATTGCATCGTTCGTGTCGGTTTCGGCAAGGCAGATGCTCTGAACAATCATGATCTTTCTCCGTCTTCACAAACTCAACTTCAACCTACTCGTGCTCTTTGGGTGGGAAACATTCCAACATCAACTACTCCTCAGACCTTGCAAAATATATTTGCGCCTTTTGGTAATATCGAATCTGCTAGAGTTTTGACTCATAAAAGTTGCGGATTTGTTAATTTCGAAAAACTCGATGATGCTGTCAAAGCAAAAAAAGCTTTACATGGTAAAGAAGTCCTTGGAAGTATCGTTGGACCTGTCAGAATTGGATTCGCAAAGGTACAACCTAAACCCTCCCCAACGTCAACTCCTGAACCTGGATCTCCAGCTAACCGTCATGTTCGTAATCTATCATCGTCATCTTCCTCTTCCAATAATCAAAATTCTGGTCAATGGAATGGACAAATAGAAAACTATCATAATAATATGATGAGAATGTTGATAGCGAATTCAAATACTAACGGCGGTTTGACTGAAAGGCAATTGATGATGCGTGAATTGAGTGGTGGTTTAGATGATGATATAGGGGACGTAAGCGGTTAGTGTTTTATTTTTATTTTTATTTTTTTTCGGATTAATTTATTTAATTTTATCCTTTACAGCATTAATGCTTATTTATCGGTAAGAATATCATGATACTAATCTATGAATTCATGAAATTAGAAAATAAATCTACTTCGACATATTTCAACTCTATTCCTCCAGTGAGTGATCCTAATCCCAACCGTAAACCTGATGCTTCAAGATTACGGGAAATTCGAAAACGTCTCGATAGCACTCATTGTTCAGCAAAAGAAGTAGAGGCCATTGCTTTAGAAGTTATGGATGAATGTGTTGAATTATCAAGTGGTAAGGTTTTTTATTAAAAAAAAAATTTTTTTTTTTTTCGTAATTTTATTTATTCAATCTATTAATTTAATTTTTTTTTTTACAGATTACATTGGCAACACTGTAGTTCAAAAATTATTTGAACGATGTTCTGAAAATACTAAGACCAAAATGTTAGAAAAGATTGCCCCACATTTGGCAACCATTGGTATTCATAAAAATGGAACTTGGGCTGCACAAAAGATTATTGACTGTGCCAAAACCCCTGCTCAAGTATGTCATATCTTACAAATCGCGTTATTTATTGTTCTTGTAAAGTCATTAATATTAATATGTTCATATTATTACATTTATTAGATGCAACTTATTACATCTAATGTCAAACCGTATACTCCCCCACTTCTTCTCGATCAATTTGGAAACTATGTGGTTCAATGCTGTTTACGCCTTAGCCCTCAAAGGAATCAATTCATTTTTGACGCTATGGTCGATAAATGTTGGGAAATTGCGCAGGGTCGATTTGGCGCACGTGCTATGAGAGCTTGTTTAGAGAGTCAGCATGTAACAAAGAAGCAACAAGTAAATACTTTATGATGAATATGGTTATTCATAATTGTACACTTTTACAAATTTTAATATTTAGCGTTTATATTATTCAGAAACAAGTAGCTATCGCTATTGTTATGAACGCCGTCGCTTTATCAACAAATCCAAATGGTGCATTACTATTAACATGGATGCTTGACACATCTTCGTTCCCTGGTCGGTACCGTATTCTTGCACCACGGCTTGCACCACATTTGGCACATTTGTGTACCCATAAACTTGCATCGTTGACAGCTCTTAAAATTATTAATCAACGACAAGAACCAGATGCACGTGAATTAACGGTAGCGGCATTGTTTTTCTCTGTAAATGACCAAATATTAGAAGAGGTATTAAGTGATCAAGTACACGGAGTAGGTGTTGTTCAAAAAGTTTTATCTAGTCCATATGTGGATCCAACTGAAAAACAAAGATTAGCAGAAAAGGTGAAAATAGTTTTGGGCAAATTAAAAGTTCAACAAGTTCAAGGATACAAACGCTTGATGGAAGAATTAGGAATGTTTGGGGATCCAACTATTGTTGGTGCTTCAATGGGAATTCCACCACAGGGTATGTTTCCTGCTCCTTTACCACCAGATTTTGCAGCAGCGGCAGCATATTACGCCGCAGCACAGGCTGCATTTGCAAATCAACAGATTCAGCAAGCTGCTAGCAGTACGCCGACATCAGAAAGTAATAATTCATCTCAAGAACAAGTTAATTCACAAACGACGACACAACAATCTTCTAATGAAAATCCCACCAACCCGAATGGGACAGTTTCTACACCACCACCACCAACAACATTTCCACCGCCAAATCCAATGTTTATGAATAATTTACAAATGTCACCTCACCATCCACCTTCTCCATTTCCGCCGACTTCACCTTATCCTCACATGAGTCCTTTCCCACCATTTATTCATCCATCAGCATTAGCAGCAGTTGCAGGTATGTATGGTCATCCAGCCATGTTCAATCCAGCAGCTTACCCATATATTCTTGCTGCAAGTAATACACTTCCACCTCCTATGATGAACTCGGCACCTCATACACCACCAGCGAGTAATGCTATGCCAAATAATCAGATGATTAACTTTTTGCAACCACAACAGTTGGTACAACAATCATCGCCGCAGCAGCACCCTGATACAGATCAAGAAGGCCAAGAAGTTCAAGAAGTTCAAGAAGTTCAAGAAGATCAAGAAGATCAAGAAGATCAAGAGGATCAAGAAGATCAAGAACTATTGTCACCATCAATTGGCAGTGATGCGCAGGCGCACACATCGCCACAAATAACTATATCCGAAGAGCAATCTCCTTCATCAATAGATCAAGTTGAAGTCCAGAGTCTTTCACAATAATTAATTAATAATAATAATTAAAGCTTAAAAGCGTTACACATCCAATTTCTTATTTTATTATTTTTTATTATTTTTATTTTTACCAATAGAAGTTGTAAGGGTTTTTATTTGTTGGGATTTGGGATTTCGAGGGTATGAGAACAAATCTCAATGGTATCTTTTTTTTTTATCTCAAATCCTTATTACGTTTTTATGTTTTTGCATGATAATGATTTTTTTACAATAAGGACGAAAAAAAAAAGAACCGTTTCTTAGTACACTATATATATATAGTTTAGTTTTATTTACGTTAAAAGTATATAATTTTTTTCGTTCCTATATAATGTAATTTGTTAATCATTTTTGGGCGGTATTTAGACGTAGTAGTATGTACTTTTTAATATATAAATATATTATATTATAGTAGTTTTTTTTTTCATTTTCATTTTTTCATTTTTTATTTCTTTAGATGGTTGGTGACGTTTTTAAGAGTATATTTATGTTCTTTTATGTATATGTACTATTTTATATTACTCGAATAATACGTGCCAACTATGTTTAAATTTCACAATTTTGGAATTGATTCACGTGATATAATTTTTATTACGTGCATTTGTTAAATAATAAAACAATATTTTTGATATTTATAAAATAATTTAAAAAAAAATTTTGTCACCATCCGTCCGATTCTTCGAGTACTAAACTCGAGACATCATCCTTCCACATTTCTTCTATTGCAGTTAATAATACACCAGAATTTATTGTAACCATTTCAACAAATGCATTTACAATTATACTTTCAAAATTTATTTCCCTTACTGCCTTACTAAAGCTAATTGTCGAATTATCATCAATAGGAATATCCAAAGGAATTGATTCAGGATTAACGTTTATCTTAAAATTCACACTGCCTTTAGAAACATAAATAGCTTCATGTCTTATATCATGAGGAGAAAAAACATGTATAGAAACATTCAAAATTAATTCGATGATAGGACTCCGGTATGACTCAACGTTAATATATGCATTTTGTCGAATCGTTTCCCATCCTTCATCCCCTTCTAATTTTCTTGCTATTATTTTTGGACCTTGTGAATGTTCAATAAATGAATCATTATTAGCTTTATTAATCTTAAATAGACTTTTCAATGATGACGCATCCACACCAAATAATACTAAGTCAAAAATGTGAGTTGGTCCAGAGCTGTAAACATCCGGAGGTTCAATCGTGGCCTATAAAAAAAAAATAATAGTATAAATATATATAGTTTAAATAATTTGATTACTCAACGAAACTTATCAATAGATAATTAATGAAATTTACCAATAAATAATTTTTTCCCACTTCAAAATAATATTGTATCCGTTCCACTAAAATTCCACGAATTTCATATTCAAATGCTTTGCATAAACTCATATACCTACAAAGGTCCCGCGAAGGGACAAATGATAATACGGCAAGAATAAGTTCCAAAGGTAATAAAGGTAATCTAAGTGAATCAGACATTTTTTTTTTATTTGATTTCAAAAAATTTATATATACTTTATATACTTTATATTCTAGTGTAACTTTTGACAACAATGCAAATACTTCAACTTTATTCTAGATTGTATGTCTTTAACTTAATTGGGAATTAAAAACAATGGCATTTATGACAATTAAGTTACCAAATACGGAAGAAGGTTTTATATTATAAATATGAGAAAATAAATTCATCAGGGTGACGTCATACGGTTTTCGATTTTCCAGGTTAAATCTTTCCCGGCCCAAAACGGAACAACGAAACTTTGACGTGTTACCGAAAAATTTCCAAAAGAATAAGATTCTGGAACCGATAATTTTTGTTTGACTAGAGTTATTTCATGGATTTTACTTTCATCATCTTTAATACCATAAAATTTTTTTCCATTTTCACAAGCAAAACCACGTAATTTATCGATTGCACCAAATGAATCCAGAATAGTGGCAAGGTAAGGAAGTGTTAAAGGAGTCGTAAATACACCTGCACAAGATTGTGCACATTCTTTTAAATGTGCAGGATGTGGTGCCGAATCTGTACCCAGGAAAAAGCGGGGATGACCTAATACAATCACCATTTAAAATGTTAAAATAAATTAATTCAATTTTTGTAGAATATTGTAAAATATGCGTATTATACCTTCAAGAATAATATCGCGCAAAGCTTGACGATCATGAGGAAATTTAGCAACTGGTTTACAAAAATTATGACATTTCCCTGCCCAATCGTCTACAATAAGTTGAAGATGATGTATAGTAATAGTACATCCGACGGTATCGCCAAGAGATTTTACCTATAAAAAAAAAAGAATATAAATATTTGAAATTCTTAACAATTATTCAAAGATAAGTTGACGAAGTAATTGATTGATTACCTTTTCAACGGATGCCTTTGTGGTGGCGTGTTCTAAAACTATTTTCAATTTTGGAAAATCTTGATGCAATTGTTGCAAATGCACCAAAAATTTTTCTTCAGCATTTAATACGCAAATATCCTAATAACATATATATAAATATTTTGATAATTCCCTCTCACACATACTCAAAAGTTTTTTTTTAAAAAAAAATATTAAAATAATGTTTGAGAATGAAAGAAAAACCTTTTCTGGATCACTTGGAATTTCACCATGAAGATTCAATATCATCCCAACTTCTTCCATGGCACGAAAAACTGGATAATAAACTTCATAATTTTCTATGCCTGAATCCGAATTGGTTGTTACACCTCTTGGATATGATTTAACACCTTTACATATGTATACAAAAAGAAATGAGAAAAAAAAATGATAAATATAAAATAGAATTCAAAGAATTCAAATTAAGGAATTTTACCAATAATTCCTTGAGATTTAGCTTTTTTGATTTCTTCAGGTGTTAACTCTGGGTTAAGATATAAACTCATAAGGAAGGTAACATTCGGAGCCAAACTTTGAAGTTGTGCTCTATAAGAAAGTGCTTGTTCCGTTGTAGTGATTGGTGGGGTAAGATTTGGCTTAATGAAAAAAAAAATTTTTTTCAAAATTTAAATTATTTAGCTTTTGATATAAATATGGTTCTCCATACCATTACATAGCATAAAGAGACACCCCCTTCGATAATTCGGGGGACCACCATTTCCATTAATGCATCTTGGCGAGTGTGAATATGAAAATCACTCGCTAAGGGTATCGAGATTTTGTCGATCATTTTTTTACTTGGGAAAAACTCCATTCTTTAAAAATTACATTTATTAAAAAATTATTGTTTGTAAAATTCTTTTTATGGATATGTAATTATAATGGAATAAGTGTACGACGTGTTGCCATCAAGAATAGAAAATTTGTATTAGCAGAAGACGTTTCGTCTTGAAAGGATAATATATGTATTACTATTTATTTTATTCTTTCTCAACCAACTTTGGTGAATTTAATAATACATTATTGTATATTTTGACTGAATATTTATTGTATAAAATATAGAAATTGGTATAACTTGAAATCAATTCTTAGAGAAATCTAATTCAATATAAATAGAGTGTGAGTATTTAGATTCATAATTATTGAAATCAATGTTTCAATTTAATTCAAAATATAAAGAAATAAAAGTTCTTAGAGTAAGTCATAAAAGATCTACAAAATTTTTAAATTATTAATTTTCTTAAGAATGAAAATAATAAATATAATCTTTTACAGTATGTATATGTACAGGAAAATATTTGATCTCCATGTTAATACATGTGACTTTATAAAATTATAAAGAGAAGGAATATGTTACAAATATGAATTTACATTATGTAATCATCTCTAAATAAGAGAAATTTTTAATTTAAACAATATCTTTACGAATAATACAAATAGTCGATGGATATTCAACTTTCCACAAAGCTTCTCTACCGCGATCAGCTCTACCCAAACCATATTGTTTTCTTGTACCTTTAGCATTATCCGTTGTGGCAGCTTCTTTAAGTTTCCCTAACAAGTATTCTAATTTCTTATAATCGAATTTTTTATTATCCGATTTTAGATATTCTCCGAACAGTCCCATTACAGCTAATTCTGCTAAAGTTCTTGCGTAGAATGAAGTAGCTATATTATGAGATTCAAGTCTTGCGATAGTTTTCACTGAAGATTTCAATTTAGATTCTTCATCTCTTAGGATTCTAACGATTTCACCATCACATAAAAGTTTTTTGCGTTCTTGAATAATTTTTTTAACTTTATTCGTTGTTGTTGAATCGTAAAGTCTATCTTCGTAATATTTAGAATTGATTGAAGCAAAATCAGATTCTGTATCATGATAAGATATGAATATTGCTCCACCAGGTTTCAATAGACCATAAAAGTATTTGACGAGATTAGCGATATCAGCCCGTGGATCAGATTTATTAGAGGTGTAATCGGATCTAAAAGAGAATTAATTTTTTTAGATAATTTATATAATTTATATAATAAAATAATTAGTAATAAATGATATAATGATATAAAGGAAAGGAAATGCTTACAATTGATAAATTGAATCCATGCAATTAATAAAATCGATAGAATTTTGAGGAATTGGAGATTTTCCACCAGCCCGACAATAATCTTGGAGTTTTCCATTACAAATTTTTCCTAATTTTACGTGAGCATACTGTGCCACCCTCTTTTTGTAATCATCTATTAATTTAGGACTGGACTCAACTATATTTAAAATAATTTCTTTACGACCAATATGCTTTTCTAATTCTCGAGAAAGGAACCAATCCACAATTTCCCCGCTACCTACACTTGCATCCAAAATTTCCTTACGATTATCGGATGAAGAATCAACTACACCACGTAATGTGTTTTGCAATAAAGAAATCATGCTTTCACGACTATCTAACGCTAAGTAATCGGTTGCAGCTTTGGCAACCTCAACTCCACGCTTTTTAACTGACAAACGTTCATATACCCGATCGTGAACTTCTCCATTGCTAAAGTTTTGAAATTCTATAAGATCTTTTTCTTTCTCTTTCTCTATATCACTTTCAATGGGTGAATTCATTTTAAAAAAAAAACGGAATTTGGGGGGTTTTTTTTTTGTCAAATATATATATATTTGTCCTGTACAACATTATACGTAACGCTTGAAATTCGGAATTGTTAACTATAATGGTAACATTTAAGCCTAATCTAACAATACATTTTTAGCCTTTGGTTCACGGATATAAATTTTCCATCATCCTTTTTATTGCGATCTTTGTGCTTCGATTGTTTCCATATTCGAATTCTTTTGACGATCATGAACCATTTTTTATATTTTTTTTTGGAAAATTAGGAAAATTAGCAACCTTACCATTACTTGTATGACCATGTATGACAACCAGATTACTTTATTTAGTCAAATCAAAAATTTATTTTATAAATAAAAAATTATTTAAGATACATAAATATTACTACAATCACTAATAAATATACGAATGGATTTCTAGAAAAAAAAAAAAGCGTAAAGATTTTGTATTTATCTTAAAATAATAAATATGAACAGAGAAGTGAGAAACAATAATTTTAAAAAATACTTACGTATTAGTTACTGGTTTTTCAAATCGAGGTCTTCCCGCTTTTGATACTTTACCTACTTCCGTCCACTCTAATACCTTCATGTGCTTATTATTAAGTGGTAATGTTTTGCCTTTAGCTGTTATAAGTGAATATGTACTTTTGGTAAAATCTAAAGAAGGTAATAAATCATTAGAAGAATTATAGGTGGAGGAGGATGTAGAGTGGGATATAAGTTTTTTAATGTATTCGCCAATGCGTTGAAACGATATTTCCGCAGGTTTGATAAAATCGATCAACTTTTAGGTGTACATAATATAAATAAAAAAATTAAATATATTTTGTTTATATCATTATACTTGTATATATATACTTTATAGTTTAACATACTTGAAACACGTGAGGCATATCTTCGTAAATTTCTAATGTAACATTAGTTGGCGTTTTAAAAGGTGATTGTTCGAATTTTCCTGCATTATATGCAGGTAATTTGTATTTATCAGGTTGACTTGCTTTGAATGAGAAATAAATTGCTTCATCGAGAAGCTTTTCGCCATCTCCGACGTGCTATTAAAGAGACACGTAAATAACATTTGAATCGCGTGATAAAGAAGAAAATACAATATATTTTTTTTATCTTTCAAAACACTTACGATCAACATAGGAGGTAATCCTGCTAAACTTTCTGCACATAATGGACTCACATACGGTATTCCCAATGCTTCATTGCTTACATATATTTGTGTTCTTCCATCGCGATTAAATGATTCATCCCAAAATGGAGATCGGGTTTCTGCTTTTATACGGTTCGATAATTTTTTGGCTTTTCTCTCATATTCATTAAAAGCGGGTGAAGGTGGAAAATCACAAAAACCAGATCTTGGGATGTAATCAGTGAGATCATAACGAGGGTCCATAGTTGAAGGCATGCTATGAGTTAAGTCTACCCATGGAGACTTGTAATAAGAAAATTTATGAATTTAAGTAATTTTAAGTCAAAATAAAATACAATGAAATGAAATGAAATGAAATAAAATAAAAAAATCACCTACCATACAAACCGCTCCAGCTATCATCGGTAATCCAGAATCTCTAATTGCTAATAGAGTGGCTAAAGCTAATCCACCACCAGCACTATCACCCATAATAACAATTCTTTTAGGATCAATTGGTTCAAAACCGGCGTCTTCCGGAGTATTGGTAAGATAGAGATAGGCAGCTATCGCGTCATGTATTCCAGCTGGAAATTGATTTTGAGGGGCTAATCTATAATTTATTGCTAAAAAGTATAAAGGTGGGGGATTTAATTAATTCTGTGACATGATGCATTGATAATTGGATTAATTAATACTTGCCAAATACTAATGCATCGGTTTCTTTAGCTAATCTGGTAGTGACTAGTCGGTAAAAATCAATACCACTAATGCAATAGGCACCTCCATGTAAATAAAATATTATTCTTAAATTTTCTTGGTCTCGCTTAAATCCTTGTTTTTTGGAATAAATCCATTTTGCATTTAATACTTTATCATCATCTTTAAATTGTTTCCATTCATCATCTAATACATATTCATACTCTTTGATAATCTGTTCAAGATACGGTTGAGCATTTTTCCTAAATTGGTTTGGAATTACTATTTCATCTTCTTTAAATTCTTTAGATTTAAATAAGGCACTACCTTTAGCAGTGATTTCTTGAGAATATTCAATAGTATTTGTGACAAAAGTGGCAAGTAAGGTTTTTAAGGCGACGAATACTATATGAAATTGAATATTCCAGGATGGTTGTGGAGGACCTTTTACAAAATGCTTGACGATGGCGGAAGCAAAAGTCGGAGTATTGGAAACTAAGACTTTAAACGTTTTTAACATTTTTAACATAATTCAATAAATTTTATTTTTCATTTATTTATATAAATTTATTTCGATAAAAAATAATGTTTATTTGGGATTAGTCTATATTAAAAAATCATAAATAAACGCGTTATGAAATTGTTTTTTTAAAGACCGGAAATTTTTATTTTGATTTATCCGTTAAAAGAAAGAGCTTGAATTAGATAGTTGATAATATAAATCGGGGAAAGAACAATTTTCTGTACAACATTTCTTATAAATTGTTTTTTGTATTCGCATGTGCGCATAAAAAATAGGTTCAAAAGAATGGAATTTCATATATACCACGGGATACACGGAGACTAACAACTACCCCAAGAACACCGCAAGATTTTTACGTGAATAATTTAGCAGGTGATCAGAATATTAATTTCATGTGACAAATATATGATGACAAATCTCGGTGACAAATAACGTTTCCGTATGCAAAAAAATTCCGAGTCCCCAGGATATTTAATAAAATCGATATTCAAACGGTGTGACACACGATGATAAATATGCTACCCTAACTCCAACCCCATGTATTATTTGAATTACACATGACTTTCTATGATTTTTCACGTGTTTACGTAAAAACGCACATGATAATTTAAAAAAGAGCAAACTATTTTGTAAAAATGTATTGTATGCATGTAATTTATTAAAAAAAAATAAACCGATTTTCATATTTTTACTTTAAGTTCAATACTAGATAATAATATAATCCTTGATACAGTTAAAAATACTCTTAAAGCAACTCAAAATTAGATTATAAAAATTATAATAAATTTGCCGTGAAAAATATCCCACGGAATTTCATAGTCTGAAAATATCATCAAAATTAACATTGAACGACCAATTAGTAAACGTGGGATAAAAAATAAATTGAGATAATTAAAATGCTAAATGACATCTATATATCTAACAGTATAATATTATTCATACATCATTCGCGTCATTCCGTCGTTCTATACACGCATAAATCTAAAAGTTTAATTTTTCAGGGTGCAGAAAAGATGACTCATGACGACTCACCAAAGAAATAATAGAAATGGAAGTGATTACAATTCCTTCTATTTGTCTTTCCACAATTTTCTATCTTCTCATTTCATTACAGCGATGATACTTATAAAATATTTGCAAAAATAAACATAAAACCTAATCAAAATAATAAAATAAGTGCTAATGTAAATTTCTTAAATTATAATCTACTTAAATATTTATTCATTTAGTTCAATTTGTTTTACATGTCAATTTAAATTTTGTCATTTCTATTTTTGCTAAAAAGTTTTTAACGGCAAAAAAATTCCTATACGAAAAAGTTACAATTTTGGTGGCTTGTTTAGTATAATTATTTATTTTATTCGGACGAAAGTAAAAATCCGCATTTTATTTAAAATATGTATTACGTAGAGTTATATTTTGTAAATGCAAACTTAAATAAAAAAACGTTTACATAATTATAATCAGACTCAAATAAGCGGACCATAGTATTATTGAAACTGAAATACCTCAGGCCCGTGTAGATCTTTTTAAATTCAGCTAACCCTAACCTTAACTTTGGCCAGTTTTAATCCTGAGGCTTGCATTACGATTAAGTGATATATTCTGAAGAGTAATAATGAGATAATAGTCCATACGATGTATATAATTATATGGACGCAAAATATACGATAATATACTCGTCAATTTGACTATCATATTTTTATTATCAAAATAATATACAAAAGATAATATATTCTTAAAAACCCATAATTTAATACTTTTGCTTATGACGATTAAGACTTGGTTATTGGAAAAAAGATGGTATACAAATACAGAATTACAAAATGTTACATCTATATTTATTGACCACCACGAAGTCGGAGAACGAGGTGAAGAGTAGATTCTTTCTGAATATTATAATCAGCAAGGCTGCGCCCATCCTCAAGTTGTTTACCAGCGAAAATCAATCGTTGTTGATCCGGAGGAATTCCTTCCTTATCTTGAATTTTTTGTTTGACTTGTTCTATTGTGTCAGATGACTCAACTTCAAGCGTAATTGTTTTTCCAGTAAGCGTTTTTACGAAAATTTGCATTCCACCACGAAGACGAAGAACGAGGTGGAGAGTAGACTCTTTCTGAATATTATAATCAGCAAGGCTGCGCGCATCCTCAAGTTGTTTACCAGCGAAAATCAATCGTTGTTGATCTGGAGGAATTCCTTCCTTATCTTGGATTTTTTGTTTTACTCTCTCTATAGTGTCGGACGTTTCAACATCTAGAGTGATGGTTTTTCCGGTAAGAGTTTTCACGAAAATTTGCATTTTTTGTTTTATTTTTTTAAAAAAAAATTCGTTTGATATTTGAAAAAGATTCTTGTGGGAAAAATTATAAACCTCTCCTTATTTATAGTTAAAATAATTTCTGATTTTATATCTACTAAGATATATGAGTCATCAATTAGAGGTTATATGAGATTACGCTAGAATAAATAAAAATAAAATTAGTAAAATTTGGAAAAGTTTTTTTGAGTATTATTTTTTATGACGTTATTGTGCAAAGTTTGGTAATTCAAAGAAAATAAATGTTTGATTTATTAAAGATTTAAGTATTGGAAATCTTATTAAATGAAATCAAATTAACCAAACTTTCCTAAATGGGTAACTAACATTTTAGGAATTTTCATTATTGAAATTTTTATTTATAAACAGTAAAAAATATTTTTATTCTAATTTATTGACATAAAAATCATAAAAATCTTAAGCTATTAATAAACCATATAAATCATATAAATAAATCCCATCAATTACTAATTTAGATATATAAAAAAAAATATTGATGCAAATCCCTTTTACATGAAGTACATGACCTTTTGTAAATCAGGTCGTACTGGATTATAGGATGCTGCGGTAACCTCGGCTTCTTCCTCCGGACTTTCTTCACTCCAATTACCACTTTTCGAATGGAATCGAGCTCGTGAACATACTAAATGTGCATAGTAGACAGGTGGAACTATTGAGACCGAACGAGTACATCGTGCGTATATATAGCACAAGTTATACGAAAGTGCTTGAAGACTGTCAGGCGTAAATCCATTTTCATCCATTAAGACGTGATAATGAGCGGGGCGGCATGTACCCTGTAACCCTGCTTGACTTTGTAAGTAGAAGTCAAAATCAACAGGATGTACAACTGAAGTTTCTACTACAGTGCCAGGGAAACAATTTCCAGTTCTATCCGCGTCTTTTCGATCCAAAGGGAAAAATCGAGTATGATGTCGTTTTTGTACCACTACAAATGTGATCTTAGGGTTATAAGCTGCATCAAGTGATTTGCACGCATCTATAAAAAAAAAAGGTTACATTGAGTTATGTTAAACATAAAATAAAATAAAATAAAAATTAGCAGAATATTAGTTTTACCTTTAATCGATTTTATTTCACTATCAAGAACTTTCTTAAATTGGCCTTCAGATACACCGTCTCTATAAAATAAAATTCTAAATGGCTTCTTTCCGCAACTCTATATGTATATATGTATGAAAGAATTATGAAAAATATTATTAGGTATATATATTTTATTTCATAATAATTGTTTAAAATAATACCTGATAAAAGGCTCTTAGCATTTCCTTGACCATACTGAATAAGTCGACAATGTTTTCTTCTCTAGAAGATTGTACTCGAATGGTTGATGCGTATCGGGATGCGTGATTATCCAAAGATGCGCAAAGGGCTGCTATTGATGGTCTGGTAGAACCAGGTCCAGGATGATATACATCTGCTCCCATCATGATTGATGGTTTTTCAGCTATAAACGGAACTAAGTTTGGACTTAGGTAAGAATTCATTCCTCCTAATTTAACATTGATCTTAAGACAAACGTTAGCGCAATATTGCTTTTTTGGGTTATTCACATGTCTGCCTTGAACACATTGAGAAGCGACCCCAAGAACCGTGTCTGATGCGTATTTAATTTCACCATAAAGCTGAGTTCCAGTGTTTGGAAGTATACACAGAATTAATTGCGGTTTTTGTTTTGAAGCTGTTCCCGCACGAGTCCATGCCTGTTTTACTGATTCTTCGACATTGCCTATCGGATTTGCGTGCATTATTGGTGGAGTTTTATTTGGGATATTCATTCCAGTGTCGCTACATGTATTAATCAACTCCCTAACAAAATGTTGAATGCCCATCATCGGAAATTCATGTTCTTTACCAAAAGCTATGACTGACCATGAACCAAGAGTCGCTCCAGTAGCAACCTTTTTATCGCGTAAGTTCCATGATCCATCTCTAGGTGTAACCGCGGGATCTCTTGAAGAAGTATGATAATTTATAGTAGGCGTCGGTAAAACACGAGCATTTGTAACCTTCATTTCGTTAGCTACTTGCATGTGGAACTGTTTCATTTGCTCGTTTTCGTGATAGTTTAACAATTTAATGCCTTGATTTATTTTATTAGCGCGCATATGAGGTTGCTGACAAGTAAACTTAATCATGTCAGCGGTTTGTTTTTCGTTGAGTTTTCTCATATGACGTTGTCCCTAATTAAAACAAAGATTATGTTACATTTATTCAAAATAAATTGATTAAAAGATCGATTACAGAAAGAAAAAAAAAAGATATACTAACCGGAATTACATCACAAATTTCCATAGGGAAAAAAGTATCTTTTCTAACTACGACACAAGGAAGCATCGGATATTTAAGACGAATATTTCTAACTTTTTGAAAATATTGTGCAACTGTGATGTTTTTTCCTTCGTATTCAAATTTCGCTTTATCCGCACTTTGTTGAGTAAGTTTAAGAATTTTGTATCGACGTTTTCGAATATTTTCGTCACGATGATTTACACAGACCTTGAGACCCTTTAGTTCTCTTTCAAGTTTGCTACGTTCTCTATCAATTCCTCTAAAAAGATCCTCGGGTTGTCGTTTACCAAGAATCTTCACAACAATCTGAACTAGAGTGCCACTTTGATAGAACGCAGTAGCAGACAAATCGACATTTATCATCATTTTACCTATTGCCAAAATTAAAAGAAATATTCACGTTATAAAAAAATACCCATATTACGACCAAAACATTATAAAATACATTTGTAAGATATTTTTCTTATAAATTTTTACCAGGTGTAGGACGAACTGATTGATAATATCCTTGCCAAACTTCAGCCCCACCGTAAAGAGCCATTGAACCTTCTGGAGTGTAAAAAGAGCGGCCAACAGAAGCATACTTCATTGACGGTTCATGACGAATGAGCACATCCAAGGCCATTATGGCAGTCAAAATATTATTGCTGATCTCGGATTTTTGATTTAACCAACGCTCGAGTTCTTCCATGTTTATTTCCGCAACTTTCTTTAATTTAACTTTAAAAGCCCTTGGGGGACGTTTGGAAGTAGTTACGCCGTCATCTTCAGGTAAAACTACATCATACGTTGCTGTTTCACCAAAGGGAAGTTTTCTTGCAGCGAAAATATTTTTACGGCCGTCAAAAACAGGTTTAATATTGTTTAAAGCTCCAGCGTTTAGAGTCTCAAAATGTTTATAAATTTTCCTGTTCAAACCCGGTGGTACTTCAGGAGTTATAGTTACATCGTAGTGATAAATATTACTGGTAGGAAAAGAAATTACTTCGAAATAGTTCGTCCGAACACGAATTGGGCGACCTAGTTTACCGTAACCAGGACGTTTAACGAAGTCAGTAAGGTGCAAACCTGCAGGAGCAGTAGTTGCCATAATGAACGAATCGGTCTCGGCAGCACCAAAAAAGGTATAACTGGAAGATAACGTTTTGAAAAGAAAACATTGTTATATATCAGTGATTTGATTAGATTCAATAATAATGATTGGCCAACGATTAACTTCAAGATTTTTTTTTAAGTTTTTGTTGTCTATTGTTATTGTCCTTTTTTGAATATTATATATTCATTGTTAATCCAGATAATATTACGTATTTTATTATAATTATTACAAATACGTGAATCTGCCTGTTCTCAACTTTGGAATCTTTCTTTTACTTCTAGGGTATAGAATTTAATCAATATTTTTATTTAAAAAGATTTCATAAATGATAAGATTCTGTCATCGAATACAATTGTTTTTAAAAATGCTACTCCATAAACAAAAGTGAATTACAAGTTTCGATAGTTTTTTTTTTTTTTGATAAACCATAATTGTTCGGATGACTTTAACAACAATAATAACAAAAACCTACTGGGCATTATCAAGTACTGTATATGGTTTAAAAAAAAAAGAATACCTAAATATGATATAGTATTTTTAATATATTTTAAATTTACTTGATAGAAAAAAATAATAATAATTGTAGTCAAAAAAGTAATAGCTTCAAAGTGGAAATTATTTTGATCTTCAAAATTGGAATTTAAACCTGTAATCATTATTGTTGTACAAATGCATGCAAAACGGAATTTATTTAATCCTGTAATGTTTTTTTTTTAGATTTAAAGAAAGAGAAATTAAAAAAAATTAAAGAAACGAGAAAACGGATGAAATGAAAGAAACTGGAGAAAAAGAAGAATTGGAAGAATTGGGAGAATTGGAAAAATTGGAAAAATTAGAAGGATCGGTAGATTTGGAAGAATCGGAAGAATCAGTAGATTTGGAAGATTTGGAAGAGTAGGCATATTTTTACATTAAACATAATTTTAAAACCATAATTTATTTGCTAATAATTACATATCTAATCAATTATAAACTAATTAATATAAATTATATTAAGGGCGTGAGTATTTAGATTCATAATTATTGAAATCAATGTTTAATATCATATAACAATTTTCTAATCAATCAATATAAATTATATTACAGTGAGTGAGTATTTAAATTCATAATTATTGAAATCAAATGTTTCAATATCATATAACAATTTTCTAATCAATTATTAACTAATCAATATAAATTAATTACAGTTAGTGAGTATTTATTGAAATCAATGTTTCAATATCATATAACATTTCTATAATCAATTATAAACTAATCAATATAAATTATATTACAGTCTGTAAGTATTTAGATTCATAATTATTGAAATCAATGTTTTGATATCATATAACAATTCTCTAAGCAATATAAATTATATTACAGTGAGTGAGTATTTGGGTTTATAATTATTGAAATTAATGTTTCAATATCATATAACAATTCTCTAATTAATTATAAACTAATCAATATAAATTATATTACAGGAAGTAAGTATTTATATTTATATTTATTAAAATCAATATTTCAATATAATATAACAATTTTCTAATCAATTATAAACTAATTAATATAAATTATATTACAGCAAGTGAGTATTCAGATTTATAATTATTGAAATTAATGTTTCAATATCATATAAAATTTTTTAATTAATTATCAATAATATTTTTTAGAAAGTGTAAGGAATGTAATCAATGTAATACTGGAAGAAATTGGTGCTATCCATGTAATGTTAAACATTTTCAAAATGAATTTGATAAATGGACAAGTGAAGATAAAGAAATTGATAAATTTATTCAACAAATACAACTAAAGGCAAATAGATGTATAGAAGTTATTGAGTGGATTCCATTTGACAGATTTGAGAATGTTACATATTTTGCTAAAGGAGGTTTTGGCACAGTATACAAAGCAAAATGGCTTAATGGACCTATTGTAACTTGGGATTATGAAAAAAAAAACTGGGAAAGATTACAGAAACAATATGTTTGTTTAAAAAGTTTTGATAATTTCACAAATAAAAATGATTTTTTGCAAGAGGTAAAGATTTAATATTATTTAAAGTTCATCATATTTACATTATTTTAAATATACTAATATATATTTTTAGATTGAAAATCAATTTAAACTTCGAGGTAAAGATATAATCTCTGTATATGGCATTACTAAAAATTCAGAAAATAAATATATGATGGTTATGAATTATGCAAAAAATGGTAGTCTTAGAAAAATGTTAAATAGAAGATTTGAGGAATTAACTTGGATAAACAAAACTGATATTTTATATAATATTATACTTGGACTTAAAAGTATTCATGAAATGGACTTGATGCATAAAGATTTTCATTCTGGTAATATACTTATGCAAACTTTTACTTTTTGTTATGTTACTGATTTTGGATTATGCAAACCAATTGCAGAAAATGATTCAAAAAAAATTTATGGTGTAATTCCATACATGGCACCTGAGACATTAATTAGAGGAGAATATACTCAAGCATCTGACATTTACTCTTTTGGTATGATTATGTTAGAAGTTCTAACTAGTTATCCACCATATTATAATATTCCACATGATGCAAATCTTGTAATAGACATTTGTAAAGGACTTAAACCTGAAATTAAGTGTGAGATTCCACAACTTTTCAAAGAAACAATGGAAAAATGTTGGAATTTTGAACCTTTCAATCGTCCAACTGCCGAAGAAGTGAGATCTCAATTTGTTGAATATCGTATTCATGATGAAATAAAAAAACAAGTTGAAGTAGCAATAAAATCAAACAAAAATTTTATTAAATATAATTCAAAAGAAATGCATCCTGAAGCAATATATATAAGTAGACTTATACCTAAACTACCTGAACTTACAATGCCTGAATATAATACACTTGGTAAATATATTTTGTAAGAAATAAATTTTATTTACTTTTTTTTAGAAGAAAGAATTTTATATTAATTATTTATTTAGATTCAAGACAGCAATTTTTTTCAATTCCTGATAAGATAATTGGTAAATTTATTTCTTTAATTATTTTGTTTGATATATTTAATTTAAAAAGTTTATTAATTATATTTAAATTTTTATAACTAAAGATGAAGAAAATGAAACTCAAGAAATGGAATATAAATTTAATTCACTAAAAATTGATTGAATAATTGGTTTAGAATTAAATATTTATTTTTACTACAAAATTCAAATTAAATTTCCGCTTTCTCAAAAATCTTAAATTATTCAGTAATTTAGTTAGCAACAAAAAGCGGAAAATAATTATGAAAAAAAGTAGTAAGTGCTAAATATATTTATTTTATTTGATTTTGTTATTATTATATATAATATAAAATTATTTATTGTTTTATTTATATTTTATTTGAGTATGAAATTATAGAGTAGTAACTTTTATTCAATATATAATTATTTAAAATAAATTATTATTGTCTTGATATTTCAAAAATTTAAATTATTTATTATTTGTTTTCATACAATTTATAAACTGTATAAAGTTAACTATATAAGTTTATATAAGTTAACTTTCTTTTTTAACTTTTATAAATAAATAGATAAGACAGTTAATTGAAAATTAAATACTATCTCATCAGGAAAAACTTTCATAAGTTATTCAATTGTTTATTGTTACATTATCTTTCAAAGGTTTTTGGTTTTGATATTTTATGTATGAAATTTTGTGAATATTATTGTTTCGTAGTAATTTTGTAACAGAAGTTTTCAATGACCTTCACTTATATTAAATATTTATAATATGTCATTTTGTTCATTTTGCTAATTTTGATGATTATTACCTGTATCCAATTTTAATAAATCTTAGCATATTTATTTTTATTGTATTCTGTGAAGTCAATTAGATCACCATTAGGGTATTGCTTTTTATAAATTGAAAAAATTTCCTTTATGTTTGAATATTTAACAGTATTGCTTAGAATGCCTATTATCTGGTAGAAAAAAAATCAACAGCATTAAAAAAAATTTGTTGTTTTAAAATATATTATTAAAATAATTACTTACGATGTCATCTTGTATATCTTCTTCATTTTCTTGAGGTTCAGGAAATATTGACATCCGAATTTGTTGCTTCTTGTTCATTTTCTTAAGAGGAAAAATCATCTTCATCTATTATTTCTTTAAAAAATCCCTGATAATTCCGTATATTATTCTCCCGCTCCTTGTTTGAATTTTTCTTGTATTGATCTTCATAATTATCCTAAAAATATTAAACACATTAACTTCTAGTCAAAATGCTTGTTTACCTCTTTTTGTTCTCTTTTTTTAAATTGTTTCATTAATATCATTGACAACCCCAATTGTTTGATACCACACAAAATTTTATTCAGAATATTAATTGAGCGCATTTTTTCAACTCCCAGTTCTTAGCGAGTTCGCAATTTGCTTTATCACCCTAACGTAAAGCTTGGCAATTAGTGATATTCTTAACTAACGTATTCTTGGTTCCATCCCACCGGGTCAGCTTAAAGACTTCCAGGCAAGCTTGAAAAGTCACCTGTTTCCCAGTGGGGCAGAATTGGGTCGGCTTAAAAGGTTTAAAGCCTAAAAGTTCGCCTACACCTCAATTCTCGCGGCTTAATGACGAAGAGCTTGAAAGGTCTTCGCCACGCCACCAATTTATTATAATTTCCTACTTTTGGGCAGGTTCTTCGCTTTCTCACGCCTTTGGCCATTTCAGTAGTAGCGATTATCTCCAGACATGTAAGGTAAAGTCCTAACTTCAATCTTGCTTATACGATAGGAAATAAACAAGTCAGGAAGAACAGAAATTTGGAGGTTTTTCTAACATTCTTTTAACCAGTTATAAAACAAAAGAGAAGTTTTCGAAATCCTCACAAAAGAGACAATTGAAAAATCGTTTATAGTGCAGTTTATTCCATTAAAGTATCGATACATTTTTATTTTGAAGGACAGCTATTACAACAGAAATTCCTATTATAAAAATTTTTAACTTATTATTATAATACGTTTCATCAAAAGTTTGTATCAAAGAAAATCAGATTTGCTTAGATAATCAGCAGATATCCGTATACCGAAGTACCAATCCGTTGGCACTAATTTAGTTCCGGCCAAAGACTGTTGTCACACACTGTGTAACTAATTCCAGTAACTTTTATCGTTTAAATTTATTTATTAAAAATTGCGAAAATGTTTTCAACGTATCGTCATTTGGAAAGACGAACTGGTAAATCTGGCACTCCAAGGTAAAGATAATCTTATCCACTTTGATTCGGCAAAAAGTTACATAATTTAAGGAATTGTTTATCTTGTTCTTTTATAGGTTAGATTATCTTCAAGAACTCGTTGATGAATATCAAAATACTAGTGATAAAGGTGTAATAACTTATCTGATATTCATTATTTTCCTATATTATCACTAAATTTTGATCAAATGGATTATATGGATTTTAGAGGCTAAGTATCAAGTTCTTGCTAACTTGGCCAATTTCGCTTATGATCCAATAAATTACGATTGGCTTTGGGAACTGAACGTTGTTGATTTGTTCCTTGGTTTGTAAAAATATGAATAATTATTTTATTTTATTTTATTTTTTTTTTTAAAATTATATTTTTATTAAATTTATATATATACCCATTTTAGACACATTAACTGAATCTGACGAAAAACTTAAAGAGTTCGGTTTAGGTGGATTATGCAATCTTTGTTTAGGTTATTAATTTTTGTCAATTGTTCTTTTGGAATTTAAAAAATCCTTTTTAAGTTATAAACACGTGATGTCGATCATTTAAATAGAGAAACGCAATAAGGAACACATAATAAATTATGATGGCATTACGTTAGTAATCGATTGCATATTTAACGAAAAAGAAGAAATAATACTTTCTGCAATTACTACCTTAATGTTCTTAATCTCTCCGAATAATATGAATAATGAAAAAAATGGTAATTATCACATTGTAATTCTAATTATATTCATTAATTTTATTAATTTATTAATTTATTTTCTTTAGATGTTTTATCCGATTCCCTTAGAAAACGTATAGAACATTTATCTCGCTCCAAGAATGTTTGCATAAAAAATCTTTCTACTATATTCTTAGAGGATTATTACCAAAAAAAATCATAATCTCAAAAAAAAAAATATTATCAGGTGTATTCCATAATGTAATGTTCTTAAAAAAATATATATATATATATAGAGGAAAAATCAGTTTCTTATAAAACATTCTGTTTATTTATTTCTATATTAAACTTTCATTTACTTTGACGAAAACTAATATAATAATTTTTATAATAGAAGAACATGATTTGATATAAAGAAATCAATAAATATTCATTATAAAAATTGCAAATTAATTATTTCTATATTATATAATATTAAAATTATTTATTAAATAATTTGATTGCATAAATTTATTCTCTATTCGAAAAAATTAGATCTTCTCGTCTCACACCAACACCAATCCATTCAACTACAAAATATTTAAAAATCAAAAATCAATATTCAATTGTAAGGTAATGAGATGAAAATAAATAAATAAAAAAAAAAAAAAAAAAAACTTACTAGGAACATTTAAATAATCCTCAACCATTTTCACATAATTTCGCGCGTTTTCGGGTAAATCGGAAAGCCTGCGACATTTAGAAATATCGATTTTCCAACCCGGTAATGTTTTATATTGCACAGTAACTTTTCCAAGAATATCTAAATCGGCTTTTTATATTTGATAATTCTGTTAATTTAATTTATAATTACATAGTTACGAATGAAGTGAATGAAGTCAAGATATAAAAAAACAATTAATGCATACCTGGAAAACTATCCAAAGGTTTTCCATCTAAAAGATACGCTGTGGCAACCTTCAATTCTGGAAGCTGGTCTAATACATCAAGTTTAGTAAGATTCAAGCTTTGAAAATGAAGTGAATCAAACCAAAAAGATTGTTAAATAAATTCCTTATTATATAACAAAAAGAAATCCCATTGGGGTGAAGATAGGTTTACCTTGTATAACCATTAATCATGGTTGAATACTTTAGAACTACAAGATCGAGCCATCCACATCGACGCAATCGTCTGGTAGTAGTACCAATTTCAGATCCAAATTTTTGTAAGTATTCTCCTGTTTCCTAAATGTAATTCATAATTATAAGTAATTTATACTTAAACATAATAAAAAACGTGACAATATATCATATGACTTACATCACGAAGTTCAGTAGGGAATGGACCAGCACCCACTCTAGTTGTGTAAGCTTTAACTACACCTATAACTTTGTCAATTTTAGAGGGAGGAATACCTAACCCGGTAATAACTCCTCCAACAGTAGTGTTTGAACTTGTTACAAATGGATAAGTACCAAAGTCAAGATCAAGCATTAATGCATTGGCACCTTCAACAAGAATCTTTTTATTTAAATTTATAAATTTATGCATGAAAACCACACTATCAACAACGTAGGGTTTAATACGTATAGCCAAGTGCTATTCAAAAGCCAAATAGATTAAAATTATTGATTTTTATAATCGTATGAATAAAATATTTAAATATTAATAAAAATTACCTTGTAACGTTCAATTTCTGCTTCAACATCATATTCAAAATTTCCGTATCGTTTTATCCTATTTGTTACTAATTGACGAAAATTTTCTGCGAAAACCTCAATGTTTGACAAATGATGAACTCGTAGACCAGAACGCGAAGCTTTTGATGAATATGCTGGACCAATACCCTTCTTCGTTGTGCCAATACTAATATTTTCAATCAAAAAAAAAAAAAAAAAAAAAATTAAAAATTAGGTCAGGAAAACCCTATAACATCTATTTTATTAAATAAATAAAAAATTAAAAACAAAAAAAAAATAACATTCTCATGAATAATACACCTTGCACGGCCTAATTCAACTTCTTTTAAGCCATCAACAATTTGATGAAAATCAAAAACTAAATGAGCGCGATCAGAAATAAAAACACGATTGGTAACATTCAATCCTATTTAATAAAAAATATTAATTAAAAATTAATCAGTATAATTATTTATTAATGTTAACTGAAATTTAATTAAATTTTTTACAAACCTTTTGCTTCTAATTTTTCCAATTCCTCAAAAAATGATGGAACGTGAATGACTACTCCCGAACCAATGAGAGAAATGCAGTTGGGGTTGATTAAACCTATAAATCATATCATTGATATTTATTTTAGGAACTTTGTTTTAAAAATTCTATATAGTAATAGATATTTACCTGATGGAATAAGGTGGAAATCGTATTTAACATCATTCACAACAATGGTATGTCCGGCATTGTTTCCACCCTTTAAAAAAAAAAAAAAAAGTAATAGAAAATAAATAAGAAAATAAATAATATATATATACACATATACAAAAATTAATTTTGGTTCGCTTATTTTGTTTTATTTTAAAGTTTTACATGAATATACTTACAGCGCAACGTGCACAAATATCAGCTTCTTGTGCCAACACATCAACTAATTTACCTTTTCCTTCATCACCCCATTGAGAGCCCAAGACTACAGTCGCACCTTTGGTAGAAAGATTCGAGCCTGAAGAGCTCATCACGATAAATGAGACAGGTGTGTTTTCTGTCTTGGAATTGTTTTGGTTGCAGGAAACATTTTACACGAATTATATAATTTGATTGGTCATTGAATCTAATTTACAATGACAGATAATCTTTACGCATTCTGTATCTGTATATTTGATTGACAACTTTAACTTTATTAATTATACATACGTACATATTTTTAACGGTGGCACGAACGTAGATCACACACCAATATAAAACACAATCTCCAAAGGGAATAAATAGAAAAGTAAAGAGAATGGACCTTTGAATCTATCACTTACAAAGATGTAGAATGTGGTGAAATAAGAGTGATGCAAAAAGAACCTATATTTGTGATAGAAAAATTGAACATCTAAAATAATTTTACTTCAGCAGAGAGGAGAAGCAGCAAAGAAGAATTATGCTGAAAAAAATGAAGTTCGATGGAATATATTTAATATGTTATTACTTTTACATGTTGTCAAGTTCATAGGTTAATTATTATTATCATTTTTGTTATTATTTTTTCACAGGCATCAAGACAAAAAGAAGAAATCAATCAAATTACTCCAGGATGGTGTGAATAAATTTTAATTAAATATAATAAAAGATTTACTTTACGTAATGAAATCTAATTTTGTATATTTGTACGAGCAACAATAAAGTCACCACTTTTTTTTGGTTTGAACGCGCACTATATTATTTTTCTTGCAAAATTTTCTTTATTTTATCTACATAATTTCTTTATTAATTCCTTTTATTATTTAATTTACAATCAAATTCTATTTATTTTTTTTTTTTACATGTCATATTTATATACATACATATATACGTTAGTATCTACTGCTGCGCCTAATACTGAACGTACAAAAGAATTTCTATAATAAAAATTGATCTATAAAAAATATTTTATAAAGAAATTTACATAATATCGAGTGCCATAAACTTCAAACCAAATTATTATATAAAAATTACCTAGTGCTCAATTGTTGTTGCCAAGTGTCAAAAGTTACGCAAACCGAGATATCGGTCCTGGAATTATTTTATATGGAACAATTACAAAATGCAAGAAACTCCCAAATAATGTGTATGCTTTAGGCAGGCAGAAAGATATAGTTTTTATTATATTATTATTATATTTTTTTTTATTTGCTTCGATTACCTACTTATTTAATATTCTGGTTATCATTATTGTAATTTTCTCATAGTTATTATGTTAATATAAAAAATTTTAATTATTTATTTTGCTTTCTAAATTTTAAATAAAATTATACAGATATATTTTTCAATTGCAAGCAAAAAAGTTTTAAATTAAGTATAATATAAAGATAATGCCCTGTACGATTATCGATATAATTCAACGATATAGTCACGCAATTACATCGCGAAAAGATGTTATTTGGAATTTACTGATGACCTAATTGAAATGGCGAGCTTTCTAGGACATGAATTATTTTAAACCGAAACACGAGATTAACCACATGATACGATCACAATTGTATATCAGAAAGTTTTTAAAGATTAACAAAAAAGAATAGGTATAAATTAATCAAAAAATAACAATAAACAATGGCGAAGTAATAAATATAATATTAATTCAAGTAATTCTACCATGCTTCAATTAAATAATACTAAAAATAACATAAATAAAATAGGCGCTTAACGCAGTCTCGATTTATGGACCAGGTAATTTGATGTTCAATGTCGTGAGAGATGGACGAATATACTTAGTCCTGAAATAAAGTTAATATTTTTTGTTTATTTGTTTATTACATTTTTTGGTAATTTGTTAGTTTAGACAATTATCATTATTATTATAGGAAGACAAAAATTTATTGAGTTTAGTACAAAACATAGAATTAGGAAAGATTTCAACTTTTATGGACGAACGAATAGACAATCAGATAAATTAATTGACGACCCATATACATTATTTATTTATTTCAAATATATTAAGATTTATTCATTAATATTTATCATGTTAGTGTTGGCGTCGATATAAAATATTGAAAAAAACAAGTTGCGAAGATAAACATTAACATTAACAAATCTCTAATTTAAAAAATAAACTTATAATTTTAATGTACATCTTAAAATGATTAAATTGTAAAAATAAATTAAAGAGAAATAAAATAATATGCTACGATATACATTAAATAAAGTAATTTTTTTCCGTTTTTCCTATGATATTAAAAATGCTTACATTATAATCATCATTTCTTGATTTTCAGTTCGCGTTAGGAAATCTACAAATAGAGAGACGACGCATAGGACATGTTCCTATACGCCGCCATTAGCAATAAAAATAAACAACAGACAAATAGAATAAATAAAATAAATAAATAGAAAAACACCCACTATCCTAGTATTTTCCACTATCTTCTATCTGATTTTCTAAAGTTTCTTTCTTCCAAACCTACCTCAAAATAACGTCGTCTAATATATGTGAAAAAGAAAAAAAATAAAGGTTAATATTTATAAAATTCAAAGAACAAGGAAATTAGGAAAATGGAAAAACGGAAAAAGTGAAAAATGAAAAAAGTGAAAAAGGAAAAAATGAAAAAGTGAAAAAATGAAAAGGTGAAAAAGTGAAAAAGTGAAATTAAAAAAAAAAGAAAAAAAAAAGCGGAGGTTTAAATATGTTTTTTTTTTACATAAAAGTTTTTTAGTTATGCAGTAATGCATGCATAACTTTTAAAAGTTTCTTAATTAAGACAATCATATGCAAACTTTTGTAAATAAAAAGATGATTATCTCATAAAATTTCCTTTTTTGAAGAACAAAGTAAAGTTTCTAAATTTCGATGACATACTTATGACTATAGACTGATCAGATAAAATTCCTCAGCTATTTTTTGCTTTCTTTCCACTTCACTTTTTGTCCCAACTTTTCATTTTTCATTTTTCTCCGCTCCGCTTTTCTAATCTATTATTATTAAAGATTATTAAAGAATAATAAAGAATTAAAATATTAATCTTTATTCTTTTTTTCTTTTTTACATATATTAGACGTCGTTATTTTGAGGTAGGTTTGGAAGAAAGAAACTTTAGAAGATTTAGATAGAAGATAGTGGAAAATACTAGGATAGTGGGTGTTTTTCTATTTATTTATTTTATTTATTCTATTTGTCTGTTGTTTATTGTTATTGCTAATGGCGGCGTATAGGATCATGTCATGTGCGTCGTCTCTATTTGTAGATTTCCTAACGCGAACTGGAAACCAAGAAATGATGATTATAATGTAAGTATTTAAAATTTTATTTGATAGAAAAGCGGAACTAGAAAAAAGAAAATTTCAAATAAAATATAAACGAATAAAAGTTTTATTATTACAATAGAAAAAAAAAAGTTCTTTATTTTGCTTAAAAAATATATTACTTTTACATTTAATAGTTTTAGCATATTAAAAATAATTATATTATATTATCTTCAAAAGTTGCGGACATTTTGAAAGTTAGAGACCTAATAAATATTGTAAAACGAAGAGTAAGAAGTGATATTCTTTCATTACTGTCTGTTATCTCCTCCTGCCCTTCTATTATCTTCATTGTTTATTTCCTTCCGTTACAAAAGACGAATTTTCTCAGACTTAAATATTGGGAATATAATCATTATATATTTATAAAGACTTTATGAATGAATAAAAAATGAATCGCATTTTAAGAATGAATATTAAACTTGATCTAATGGTTTAGACACGCTATAATCGATAATAAATAGGTCATAAAATGGTTAATAAATTTGATCGCGTGCTCTAAATGCAATGATGATGAATGAGTGAATTCTGTTCAATGGGAAATGTTAATTCGGATGAAACTCTTAGCGAGTGGATGAATTGGGATTTGACCTCACTTACAGTATTTCAGAGAATGATCTGAAAGCAAAAAATATTTTGAAACTAGAAAATTGATACGATTCTCAAATGCTAATGTTATGAATTACTCATAAATTTAGTTATTGGTTCACATCCTTTGATAAAGCAAGAACTGAACAAAGACCTTCATGGCTTTCATATACAAATTTCTCTTCTTCAACTGGATGATTGATCTTTATTGGTATAAAAATAATTGTAATATGTGGGCATTTTGAAAATATGGGTCTTACATATTTATGATAATACTCTTTAATATTATTAATATTAAATTAATTTACACATGTATAATTTTTTTTATATTTAAAATATATTACAATTGTTAAAAGATTTAGATGATTTACATTATAATAAATGATAAAATGTATTAATGAAATGTAAATATTGTAATTATGAAGTTACTAAAATAAAATAAATAAAATAAAAATTAGATGTAAAATTTTTAATTAGAAATTAAAAAGAAATTAAAAAAGAAATATTGTTTTAATTCATCAAAAATCATCATTTTTAAAATCTCTCATGTAGAGGCCAACTGCTATTAACTCATCCTTTCCTCCCGCTTCTCGTAGATATTTGGTCAATACTTCTCGGTCAGCATGTGGTAACACATCGCATAACTTATTTAAGGCAACTTCATCAACAATAATTGAATTAGATTGATTGACGACATTCTTTTCTTCAATAGTGGTAGGGAAAGTACTGGAAGTAGGTGACGAACTTGATCCAAAGTTAAATCTTGAAGTAACAGATTGAAAACTAAATCTTCTTGGGCGTTTGGATGAAGTATTTTTATTTTTTGAGGATTTTGTAGGTGAATTTATAGGAGAAGAGGAAGAATTCATAATTGGATCATTCATCACAGGTGGAGGCATATTAATAAGTCGATTAGATTTATTATTATTATTATTATAACTGGCATTTCGACTCATATTAACAAAATTTGAGGAAGTTTTTATTTTAGGTAATATTGGTGGTGACATTGGACGTCCTCGTAATGAATTTTTTTTTTGAATATTTCCATCTAAAGATTTTCGGGATGATGATGTTGATGATTTGGTTGAATTCGTCGAAACCGATAATGGTGGATTTAATATTTCATTAGAATTATCTAAAGAATCTTTTGAAATTGATAAAACTGGTTGACTATTATTCTTGATACTAATAGATAAAGGATTCGAATAACGTTTGACCGCAGCCACATTTGCAAGAGGTGATGATAACTTTTTTTCGTTTTCTTTTTCATAATCTATAGAAAATAAATAATGAATAGAAAGGAAAAAGGAATAAAAGAATAGAATTAATACCTCCAAATAATGATAATAATGATATAATAGATATAATAGATAGAATAATAACATATCCGTCATTACTTTTTATAAAGGTAGGTTCTTTTTCTTTATTCAATTTAATCCATAAATGTAAACCAGTATCTTCTTGCTTCAATAATTCTAATTTCGCAGCTATATAACAAAAATAGAACGATAAACATTAAATAAAATTTTATATTTATATTTTTTACATAAAGTTTGTACATTCGAATAATTCATACCATAAGCATTTGTCCTTTGTACACGACTTCTCACTTGTCTAATATCTGCGGAAATCAAAGATATAGGTGGTACTCGTCTCTTTTTAAGTGATAAATTGAATGTGTCAAGTTGAGGAAGTTGAGGAAGTTGTAAAGATGATGTGTCTGAAGTTTGACATTCGACATCAGTATGTGTTGTGTCAGTGCATGAAGCTGAAGTATCATCAGATGAATTATCACAGGAATGAGGATAATTTTTAAATTCTTGAGATTCTTGAATATCACTTTTTGATGATGGTGGTGGTGAATCATTTGATTCTGATGATTGAGATTTTAATATTTCTTTAAGATGATTAATTGGCTCAAAAAGATTTTTAGGTTGACCTTCACAATAGGTTTGAAGTTCATTTGATTCAATATATTCCAATAAATTACTATCCATTTCTGAGGAATTATTTGTACGAGAATGACCAATTATTAAATTCTCATTATTATCATTTTCATTTTCATTATAAATATCATCAACTTGATCAAATTGATTCTCTTCCTCTGATTCCGAAATAGTTTCGGGAATATAACTAAGTTTTAGTGGTGATGAAATTTTTGAAGAATATAATGCATGTAATGAAATTTGATTATTTTGTTCAATCTCGAAAATTTTTTCAATGTTTGATTCAGTCTTTGGATTTATTACTTGCTCCTCATAAGTTGAGATATCAATTTTTGTTGAAAAAACTGATTGTTGAACATCTGATGTATATAAAGTATGTAAATTATGTAAATTATTGTAAGGAAAAAATAAGTAAATGTAATTATTACATTTCTATTTTTGATTTAAAAGTCTACCAAAATAGATGGAGGCATTTTTTTTTTTGAACGTTCACCTTGAGTTACTAAAAAGGAACAAGCAGGAATCAATAAGTTGATTTTGGAATTTCGGATCTCCAAAGCTCCACTTGGCCATCAAATTTCATACTCACAATTATTCTGAGCATTCACAAGATCTTTTTCCAACTTTTTCAATTCTTCCAAAATTGCAGGATCTATATGGGTTTTATACGTTAAGTATTAAAATCGAAACAAAAAATAAAGTCTTGAATCAAATCTAAATACCATTTTCCATGATATGTCAATTAAGATACTGTAAATCTATAGCATAAATCTTACTGGGGAATGTGGGAAACAGTGGCTTATACCTAGTCTTTTAGTCATTTGACAAAGAATATTGTATTACTGATCAGCAAACAATTTGATGGATAGAAAATTATGGATACCATTAACGAACACATTGCGGCTCGAGATTATATTGAACTCGTAAATTTCTGTGAAGATTTAGAGCTTCAAGTAGGCTTATTTTATACTTTTCAAAACGAAACAGGGAAGAACAGAGAGGGTTTTAATATTTTGTTTAATTTATTTAATTAATTAAAAATGATCACTTTTCAGTTGGCACTCACACCAAATAGTTCTATAACTCCTGAAGATTTTTATGGTCCTTTTTTACTTGGTTATCTAGTTCAACAAGATCTGTAAGTGTTTATTATTAATATTTTTATTTTTATTATTTTTTTTATTCATATATATATATATATATATATTTTACTCTTTATATTAATCGTATCAATACTCAAAGTCCCTCAGCTAGATTTCTTTGGAAACGTTTACCCGACAACATTAAAGGGAATTCAAAAGAATTAAAAGCCATATGGGATGTTGGTGTAGCTCTTTGGCAAAGAGAATATGAAAATGTGTACTCAATAATAAACTCTCAAACATGGAATCCTACAATTGCACCATTATTGGAACAATTGTCTGGTAAGTTCTTTTAAAAATTATTACGTATTCCTTCTTTACTTCATTTTTCTCTTTATAAACTTATTAATTTTGAATTAATTATAGAAAATTTACGAGAACGCATGTTTTCTTTGATATCTGAAGCATATTCTTCAATCATAATTGATGATGTGATCAAATTTGTTGGGTTATCGCGTGAGAAAGTTTTAGAAGGTAAGAATTTCCAAAGTTACATTTATTTTTATTAAATTTATTATTTAGATCATCAAATTAAACATAAAAAATTTTTATTCTAGTTGCTGAAGAACGTGGATGGGATATTGATCTTTCTAATAATATTTTACAACCAAAGAAAACTGGTATAAATTATATTTTATATATCTATATTTATCTTATGATATTTTATTATTCATTTTTATTTATTTATTTATTTATTTATTTATTTTATTCTAGTCATCGATACACCACAATCTACGTCTCTTTCGAATTTCTCTCAACTCACCGATTTAGTTATTCACTTGGAAAAATCATGATTGATACTACCGACATCTATGTTCTTTATAATTTGTATTTTATACACCTTAGAAACAATAATAATAATTTTCGTATATTGTATCTTAAAAATTAATAAAATGAACAAAAATATGTTTAGAGATCGTCAAGATCATCAACTAATGATCGATCAGATACTAAATCTTGTAAATCTACATATTTTACGGTATTATTTGTTTTATTTAGCCGTATATGGCCATTTATTTATGACATTATGGCTACCTTGTTATATATTATGGCATATGAATAAATTACGGCTACACGGAATTATGACATAAATTATGGCATATGAATAAATTACGGCATCACAGCATTATGACATTACGGAATTTTATATTGCATGACTGAATTTTGCTTTGATCATAATGTTACATAAAATTTACTTATTGATTTTACGTTTTCAATTTTCCATCTTCTCTTGTTATTCTATCGCAATGTGGTGATCATTTGATTCGCAGGTGTTACCTTAGAAGTGTATTTTAATTTTTATGTTTATTGTCCTTCGCTTTACACTATATTTCTACGCACATGATAAATTTCTGGTCACGGGTGTTTCTCTGTCTCTCATGTGATAATGACCCAATGAGATCGCTTTTATTTTTTAGATTATTTCCATAATTTTCTATATAGTGATCGACATAATGCATTAATATAATTTTTATAAGATTTTTACAATATTTTAATAAATTGTAAATCAAAACTGAATTAAACAAGTTTAGTGTGATTTTTTTAATAGTGAATTTGTGTCCGTTGTGTTTGAAACACTTGTCTATTATATTCTTTTTTGGCAAGATTTTCTTATCAAAAAAGAAAAACATTAGATCTGTTTTTAAAATAATCTTTAATCTTTAATTGTAATTATAATAGTAATGGTAATAGTAATGAGTATTGATTTTTGCTACCATTACCATTACCATTACAATTATGATTAAAGGTCACTTACTAAGAACAAATGTCCTTTGTATAAAAAAATAAAAAAGGACCATGTAATTTTTAGTTGTTTATTGTTTATTTGGCCAATTTTTGGCTTCTTTATCTATAAACCATATGTAGTGTTAGGAATTGCAAATACAAAATTGTGATTAATCAACTATTAACTATATAGTTGAGTACAAATGTTAATGGACAATTAATCACGATTAATCGATAATTATAAAAATCATGATTAATTATAAATAATCACAATTAATCATTATATTTTTCTTTTATAATATTATAATTACATAATCAATATATTATATAATTATAATATTATAATATGTCACCTGCATTTTATAAAAATATTGAAAATACTAATGTTTTAAGTGATTTTTCAAAAGATTATAACATTGATCAAATTTCACAAGGTAATTTCAATCGATCTGAAGAGTTGAATATAGAAGATTATGATAATTTTAAACAAGTTTTACCTGAAAGACTATGGAGTAATTATAAAGAACTTAATAAACAACTTAAAAAAATGTTGTAGAATTTTCAAATGAAGCATATACCAATTTGATAGAACTTATAATAAAGCATAATTCAAATAATAAAGCTAGAAACGCAATTATAAAATTTTTTAATAAATATTCTAATTTATCCATTTCACCTCTTTTTAAAAATATTAAAGCAGGTCGAAAACGTATAGACTATATATCATCAGAAAATTTTTTCGAACATAATATTCTGTAATTTTAACATAGTGATAAATTTCTGTAATTTTTTGTGTAATATTACAAAAATTTATGGAAATTTTTGAAAGTTATTAAAATGTTAAAATAAAATTCCATAATATTACATTTAAAAAATTACAGAAATTTAATACCATGTTAAAATTCTATAATATTATGTTCAAAAAATTACAGAAATTTAATGTTATATTAAAATTACAGAATATTACACTCAAAAAATTATGAAAATTTAACACTATGTTAAAATTACGAAATATTATGTAAAAAATTACGAAAATTTAATACT